ATGGAAGAAGGAAGGAATGGATGAAAGAAGGAATGGAAGAAGGCTCCACACATAATGTACCCATGTAGGAAATCGAACCTGGATCTTCCTAGTGAATAAACGGTTTATCCACTAGGCTACCCCCCCGCCCTAGTCCCTTTAGTTCACGGCAGCCTTGACCCAAATGGATGGCTGATTATTGTTTGCTCTGAAACACTAAACCACTTTGATGTTTGTGATGAAGATGAATATAAAGCTCTGAGAAAATTTACGTTTGTTTCTGAATGTCAACGACGACCAGTTTGAAATGTGATCGATGAGTCGACTTGATATAAATTTGCCAACATGTTTTATGAAAGTAAGTTGTCGCTGGCTTTTGATTTGGATGACTCTCAAATGAATTTAATTCATTTATTTTATTAAATTGATATGAGATCCCTGTGGGGACTCCGGTAGAATGTGTCCCAAGCCCCGCTTGTTTTATGTCCTTTAGTTTTCTGCAATACGAGGAACTACTTGAAACGCTATGAATTTGAATTAGTTTGACTTCATTTTTATTTTGTTGGTGCGCTGAACCATTGACTGAATAATTATTTAGAAAGGTTCGCTATTCATTTGTAGAAGTTTCAGTGAGTTCAGTCTAGCAGTCAAATATAATCTGTTTATGTTGTATTTGGATAAATAGTCCCATGGATTCTGTGTTAGAATTGGTCCCCTGCAACATATTCTGGTCGTAAGAGTTGACTATATAGATCAGGAGGTCTCACCCTCAGGTGGTCTCACTCTCAGGTGTTCAGGTGGTCTCACTCTCGGGTGGTCTCACTCTCAGGTGGTCTCACCCTCAGGTGGTCTCACTCTCAGGTGGTCTCACTCTCAGGTGGCCTCACTCTCAGGTGGTCTCACTCTCAGGTGGTCTCACCCTCAGGTGGTCTCACTCTCAGATGGTCTCACTCTCAGGTGGCCTCACTCTCAGGTGGTCTCACTCTCAGGTGGTCTCACTCTCAGGTGGTCTCACTCCCAGATGGTCTCACCCTGAAGGTGTGGATAGTTGTCTCACAGTGAGTGAGAAATATCATGGCGTGTGACACCAGAAAATTGGCTTCACACATTGTACCCATGTTGGGAATTGAACCCAGGTCTTCTTCATGATGAGTGAACGCTTTAATCACTAGGCTACCCCACCGTCCCCTCGTTGCTCACAGCGATAGAAGCTAACATTTTAAGTTCTCTGGTCCTTATAATGATAACATATACCGATACTCTTAAAGTGGCAAATTTCTACTCAGCCTTATAATGCCTTTACTAGTTAACAGTTTGGCAAGGACTACAGGAAAGTGCCAGTTTCTACCGCTGGCTAATGATATCAGTTACTGGAATTCCTGGTCCAGACTTGAATATTTACAAGCTGCTGTTTACAGCAGGAATATTGAGTGCCGCGTTAAGCAAGAAACAAACACATAAGTCTTGCAAGGCAGGATCTACATTGTAGATCTAGGTTTTGAATGATGTATTTGTTGTTCCGACAACAATCCTGTCAAACAGCCTGACTGCAGAACAGAATCTCGGAACACCAAGTTGTTGAAACCCAGCAGACCACAAGCCCCAGTACCAGAGCTTTATGTTCAATTCATGAATCGAGTGGATTAGATTCACTGCTATCAAATCCTTGTGCGAAGGAAATCGATCCGTTTACACCTAAAGTAATGAAAAATAAATATTTGCCATGGTTGGGCATTTGGGAAGTAAAATACTCGAGTGTCGTCTTAAAATGAGTTCAGGATCAAACAAGCCGAGAGTGCTTGGGTTCAATGGAGTCATAGTGGGAAATTTATAAAGTCAATATTATGGATTTGTGTTGGGGGATGCTTGTGGAAAACTGTTTTTTCATGAAGATATTTGCCTGGGATTTAGATAGAGATTTCAATCTAGAGTCCTCGGGAGCAAAATGGATCAGATTTCAAAACATTTTCTGGTTATCTTTTTGCTCTGTGGGAGGGTGTTTTGTTGCCAGATGCAATTGATGCAGTAGCATTATTAAAACAAGTTCCTGATAGGGATTCCAGGCGCTCCAGTGGGAATATCATAAAATGTGTTTGTTTGTTTGTTTGTTTAAAGCCACACTCTCTTCTCCTCTCTCTTCTCGCTCTCTTCTCCTCTCTTCTCGCTCTTCTCTTCTCTCTCTTCTCTTCTCTCTCTTCTCCTCTCTCTTCTCTCTTTTCTCTCTTTTTTCTCTTTTCTCTCTCTCTCTCCTCTTCTCTCTTCTCCTCCCTCTCTTCTCTTCTCTTCTCTCTGTCTCTCTCTGTCGCTGTGAATGAGTATGGACCAAGGCTTGTGTAGCCAAGGTCATATTAATGTTGTATATATTGGACTGTAATTTTGGTCTTTATTTACAGAGATCTGGATTAGTCAGAGTCTGGTTTTGACAGGTTCCACTTTAATTAGTGAGATATAGATACATATAAACACCTAGATAACATGCATCTTACTATGCCTCAAAGAGCAGTCACAGGTTTATTACGTGGTGGTTGAAACTTGACAATATCATCCATGTAACTTGCAGCTCGCTTCGATACTACTGGTGAACAAAAGTGCCTTTGGTGCTAAACTTCCTGAATTTCACGGTCAAAGAGATTTTATGGCTCTTCAAATTGAAAATTCAGTAATGATGCTGTATTAAACAGAAATTACACAATTTCAGGATTGGCCTTGATAGTGATTGGAATAAAAACAATAACAACTTGATGTATGATTTTATGCATGTCATGTACTCCGAACTGATCGCTCTTTGCATCAAAGAATGTCACAGACGGTGAACTTTCTAATCGGCCGATTCCAGTCAAGGCTTCTATTAAATACCCGAGTATGATCAATGTTGTACTGCTGACATGTACAAAAAGTACTATTCTAAAAACTGCTCTTTTGATTTAAATAAAAGAAGAAAAGGAAAAAAGCCTGGCCTCATAAATTTTGAGTTTTTTTGCACATTTGTGAAATTTTGGGTCGACAAAACCATTAAGTATGTATTAGAAAATACAAGCACCTAACACATTCCTCCCACATTTAGCTGATTGCTGTGACATTACAGAAGGACCGTTCGAAGCAGCTTCAAACACCAAACAACTTTCACCAACTTCATCACTCCCGGCAGAAACATGCCCATCTTTAAATGTAGCTGAAGAATTGACTTGAGATTTCTGTGATTACTGAGAAAGTTAGGAATTGCCTGGATTACAAATATTGGCAGAACGTGTAAAGTTGCCGAAGTTGTCCATTTTTTGTTTGATCAATACACTGATACAGCTATTTTCATCAGTTGTAGATAGATAGCAAAGAGGTTTCAATCCGACAGTTACAGAGAGTATTAACAGAGAGACATGCTGGTCAATGTTAATTTATGGTTAGAATGATTTTGCTATGTTTACTGCTGACTTCATCAACATGTCAATGACACAAGGGAAGGCTGGGCCAAGTCTCTCTCTCTCTCACACACACACACACACACACACACACACTCACTCACACGAACTCACTCACTCACACGAACTCACAATCTCACACACACACACACACTCACTCACACAAACTCACTCACTCACTCACTCCCCCTCTCTCTTTCTCACACACACACACACACACACTCTCACTCACTCACTCACTCACTCACTCACTCACTCACTCACACAAACTCACAATCTCACACAAACTCTCACTCCCTCTCTTTCTCACACACACACACTCTCACTCACTCACTCACTCACGCACGCACTCACTCACTCACTCACTCACTCACTACTCACTCACACACTCACACAAACTTACTCACTCACACAAACTCACACAAACTCACTCAAACAAACTCACTCACTCACACACACTCACTCACTCACTCACTCACTCGCTCATACAAACTTACTCACTCACACAAACTCACACAAACTCACTCAAACAAACTCACTCACTCACACACACTCTCTCACTCACTCACTCACTCACTCACACAAACTCACTCACACACTCACTCACACAAACTCACTCACACACTCACTCACTCACGCCTTGCAAAGCTTGCTTTGTTTTCTTTAGGGATGCCCACCTCATGTTAGCTTACCAAGTTGCCGTGCTTATATGCTTTCAATGCCTGTCATATGTTCGAGTGAAGTATTATGGTGTAAACAAACTGCTTGAGTATATACAGCGCCATATTTTGTTTTGGTGATTCCGTCATTCACATCGACAACCTACTCAAAACACTGGACTAAACCCATGCCGCTTTACTCAATATATTTGCTAACACCCAAGACTTCGCGTTTTATTTAGTCATGGTAGAATGGAGATAAACATACTGTGTTTTCAATGTAGAGCTAGGTTCGCGTTTTATTTAGTCATGGTAGAATGGAGATAAACATACTGTGTTTTCAATGTAGAGCTAGGTTACCTGTAGATTTAACCGCACTAAATTGAATTTGGAACTGAATGTGCAGCGTCAGCCACTGGTTTGAGGCAGAAAACAACATGCACTCACTTCAAGTTGTCATATGGCTGTTGCTAGCTATGCCAGTTCATTGTAACCTGAATATGTTCAGCAATATTTTCTGAAAATATGCTCAGTTGAAATAATTTTATTTGAAGAATTTATGTTAATTTTCAGCATAAACAACAATTCCATGACAGTTTCTTGTGCATTGACAAAATCTCCTGATTTCTCGCAGGGAGTTTACGGTAATTAGTTGATCAGCTGTCGTTTCCAGTGTCACCACCTGGGTACCCGTCAGTTTATAACCCTGTCACTTGACTGCCATAGTGTGAAGTCTCATCAACTCACTCACTCACTCACTCACTCACTCACTCACTCACTCACTCACTCACTCACTCACTCACCGGTCATGAGGACAACTGAGGTCATGAGGAATTAATTTCAGCAACAAAGTTTGAAAGTTTTTCAGATTCTCCAGAAGATATTGACAGCCATGTCCCAATTGTCGATGTGGTTGCCTGTGTTGATGTGTTTGTGTTGATTGCAGCACCAGGCAGTGAAGCGACACAATGAAGCCTGGCGTGACAGCCTTCGGTACCGCCGCCCCGACCTCGACCGCATGCCCGGCATCCGCCGTATCACCATCAACAGCAACCCCATGCTGGGGGATGAGGGCGCCACGGTGCTGGCGGAGGCTCTCAAGGACGACCTGTGGCTTAAAGGTAAGTAGGAGGCAGAGTAACCACTTGATGATCTGGGACTTATGGTAATCTAGGTTTCTAGGGTTATGGGGTTCTAGGGCTATGGGGTTCTAGGGTTATGGGGTTACAGGGCTATGGGGTTCTAGGGTTATGGGGTTCTAGGGCTATGGGGTTCTAGGGTTATGGGGTTACAGGGCTATGGGGTTCTAGGGTTATGGGGTTCTAGGGCTATGGGGTTCTAGGGCTATGGGGTTCTAGGGTTATGGGGTTCTAGGGCTATGGGGTTATGGGGTTACAGGGCTATGGGGTTCTAGGGTTATGGGTTTCTAGGGCTATGGGGTTCTAGGGTTATGGGGTTCTAGGGTTATGGGGTTCTAGGGTTATGGGGTTACAAGGCTATGGGGTTCTAGGGTTATGGGGTTCTAAGGCTATGGGGTTCTAGGGCTATGGGGTTCTAGGGTAATGGGGTTCTAGGGCTATGGGGTTCTAGGGTTATGGGGTTCTAGGGCTATGGGGTTCTAGGGCTATGGGGTTCTAGGGTTATGGGGTTCTAGGGTTATGGGGTTCTAGGGCTATGGGGTTATGGGGTTACAGGGCTATGGGGTTCTAGGGTTATGGGTTTCTAGGGCTATGGGGTTCTAGGGTTATAGGGTTATGGGGTTCTAGGGTTATGGGGTTACAAGGCTATGGGGTTCTAGGGTTATGGGGTTCTAGGGCTATGGGGTTCTAGGGCTATGGGGTTCTAGGGTAATGGGGTTCTAGGGCTATGGGGTTCTAGGGTTATGGGGTTCTAGGGCTATGGGGTTACAGGGCTATGGGGTTCTAGGGTTATGGGGTTCTAGGGCTATGGGGTTACGGGGCTATGGGGTTCTAGGGTTATGGGGTTCTAGGGTAATGGGGTTCTAGGGTTATGGGGTTCTAGGGTTATGGGGTTCTAGGGCTATGGGGTTCTAGGGTTATGGGGTTCTAGGGTTATGGGGTTACAGGGCTATGGGGTTACAGGGCTATGGGGTTCTAGGGCTATGGGGTTCTAGGGTTATGGGGTTATGGGGTTACAGGGCTATGGGGTTCTAGGGCTATGGGGTTCTAGGGTTATGGGGCTCTAGGGCTAATGGGGTTCTAGCGTTATGGGGTTCTTGGGCTATGGGGTTCTAGGGCTATGGGGTTCTAGGGTTATGGGGTTCTAGGGTTATGGGGTTCTAGGGCTATGGGGTTCTAGGGTTATGGGGTAACAGGGTTCTTGGGCTCATGGGGTTCTAGGGCTAAAGAGATTCAGGGCTGTGGGGTTGAGGACTAATGAGGTCCAAAGTAAATGGTGTTCTCGGACTGATGGCGTTCCTGAGCTACTGTGGTCCAGGACTAACACTGTTCTTTGACTAAAGATGTTACAGAGCAAAGGATGGTGAAGTGAATCACTGGATGTCAAGTACCAACAACATATACCCATAGTATTATCATGACCCTGTCTTATAACAGAGTTCTTGTCTTATAACAGTGTTCTTGTCTTATAATGATGTTCTTGTCTTATAATGATGTTCTTGTCTTATAACAATGTTCTTGTCTTATAACAGTAGTCTTGTCTTATAATGATGTTCTTGTCTTATAATGATGTTCTTGTCTTAAAACAGTGTTCTTGTCTTATAATGATGTTCTTGTCTTAAAACAGTGTTCTTGTCTTAACAATGTTCTCGTGCTAAAACAATGTTCTGTCTTATAACAATGTTCCTGTGTTCCAGCACTGGACATGCAAGGCTGCGGTATCTCCACCAGTGGTGCCCGCGTCCTCCTTGACGTCCTCAAGTACAACACCACCCTCGTGGTGCTCGACGTCCGAGCCAATCCCATGATCGGTCAGTACCAGAAGCCTAATGACAGACTGGTCTCACAGACTACTGCAAACTTCTTGCTGACATAAAATAGGATTAACTGAATCATAAAATAACGATAAGAATAGTATACTTGTATAGCACTGGGCAGTATTCATATTTACTGACCGTGGACCCATCAGTAAACAGAAGCACTTCCTGCTCAAAACACAGTAACTGGCCAACATTTACTGCAGCATACACTTTGCAAGTAAAGCTACCATATGCACAATTAAGGTTACTGTTTCATGCATGATACATGAAGATCCAAGGGGCGGTCGGGTAGCCAAGTGGTTAAAGCGTTCGCTCGTCTCGCCGAAAACCTGGTTCGATTCCCGACATGGGTACAATGTGTGTAGCCCATTTCTGGTGCCCCCTGCCGTGATATTGCTGTAATATTGCTAAAAGCGGCGTAAAACCATACTCACTCACTCAATCCCTCATTCTGTGAAGATCCAGGTTAGAATAGGTCTTCAGCAAGTTCGAGAGCAACCATGCTTGTCATGAGAGTCGATTATGCTTGTTGTAAGAGGCGACTTATGGGATCAGGTGGACAGGCTCGCTGTCTTGGTTGATGCATGTCATCGTATCCCAACTGCTTGGATTGATGCTTATGATATTAATCACTGGATTGTCTGGTCCAGATTGGATTATTTACAGACCGCCATCATATAGCTGGAATATTGCTGAGTGCGGCGTAAAACAACAAACAACTTCATGAATGATAGCAGTGTGCCAGTAATGCCTAATAAAGGTACCATATTCGTCGTATTTACCACCCTGCTCCAATACACGCTCCAAGATTAACTAATAAGAACAGACAGAGAGTAACATGACACAGATACAAGGCACTTACAAACACTGCCAAGGTAATACTGGGGAGGTGAGAGACTTGCTCATGTCACAGAAACATCCGCCATTAGCTAGCTACTCTAAGAGACATAAAGTAAACGGGGTAGACAACTCTAATTGATTGAAATCTGATTCATACCGCTAAATAAAATACTGCAGACCAATACCTGGTTCACTCTGTCCCTCACAACAAAAGTATATTTATGTTGCACCACACAATGTGGTCAAAGGACATTACATATTATCAGCCCAATATTAAATCAGTCAGTATTCTAAATGCCTTCTCAGCTCCCTGGGGAGTATACCACATGTTTTGTGCTGCAGACCGAGACCTGGTTCACTCTATCATGGAGCAGTTGATGATCAACAGTAACGGCCAGGACACCGAGGTCAGCATCTCCGTCATGTTTAGCCACTCACTACATAAAAACTCCTTGTTTCTCATTACAAACCATCCTTTAAAATTTTCCCATCCTGAAATTGAAAAATGTTTGCATGCTGAATTTGGTTGCTCATTTTTATTCTGTTCGGATGACCAAATTGAGAAATTGATGGTCAGATGTTCTAACTAAAACTACATATAACTGAAAGCAAAGGCCTATAGGTTGCCATAGAAACTCCTCTCTCTTACTCCATATTTGCCTTCTCTCGTCTCAGTACAAATGGATAAAGGCAGAGGAGCCTGTTGATCCGAAGAAGGTTCGGAGCCGGAGACGTGTGACGCGTGGCCTCAACCATAGCGTGGCAAAGAAAACCACGATCAGGGTGAGTTTCTCTACTCCATCATCTTCTTCCCCGGGGTAGAATTTGTCTTCAGCAACTGATGCTTATCATATGAGGGGACTGACAGGATCGGGTGGTCAGACTCGCTGACTTGGTTGATGCATGTCATTGATGATGTCAGTCACTCGATTATTTAGAGACCACTGTCATACCGCTGGAATATTGCTGAGTACGGCGTTAAACAACAATCAACAATATCTCAGCAGCTTATCTAAATGTGATGTGGCAGCCATATTGGATTCCAGATTTTCATATTGTCAATTCTAAGGTTACATGTCGTCAGCAATCATCTCCTCTGAACCCACCTGTTCAAATACTTCACAAATTGTTCCCACACATCCAGCTTCAAAAATATCTTTGCACATTCTTTATTCACAATATCAATGACAGGATTGTCTGGTCACAAAATCAATCACAACTCCCAGCTCCACCTATCCATTCAGTCACTTCAAACAACCAGCGTAGCTTACCGGGGACTTAGGAAGTAAAATTGCTTGTCATTTCTGCAGAGCAGGTTGTTATGATTTTTATCGCCCAAATCAAACTTTCGAGGTGTAGACGTATCTCTTTTCGTTTACATTGGTAAGTAAGGACGCTGTCCTGGAACACCTATAACTGGTTATGGTACAGATTTGGGCCTCTGTGGCTGCCACTCCTTGACAAAAATCTCGAACAGTTGACCCAGTTTTGATACACAGACTTCATTTCAGATCAGCTCCAACTCCGCCCGGCGCCGAGCCCGACCAGGTACCGGGTTCCTGAACACGTCCCGCCCAAGCCCTGGTCTGCCCTGGAGGACCGCAGCTAGAGCCAACAGATACAAGTGAGACAATACAGATCTTTATAAACATGACCTCAGTTATACAGACCTTCTTAACAGGCATGGCTGGATAAATGGGTTCCTAAATAGTGAAAGGCATATTTATTCTTTGTATGAAGTAACAAGGCAGGACATGAATTCAGAGATTTATGGAAAATCACAACATTTGACAGGATTAGAAAGTATTTCCTATTTTTTCCTGCCCCACAAATATGGTCTGCTACAGAATTGCCATCTAACCAATGGTAAAAGTGGTAGTACATTTGCTATAATATTTGCAAAATATCTTTTATGTTCCAGATTTGACATTTTATCTGTATGTTGTTAAAATATTCTAAAAAGTTAAATGGTAGTACTTATACCATATTGCAAAAGTGTGATTTCCTATATGCCTCAAGTAAAGTGTCTAGTTGGTGAGATAGTCAAAGAGTGCACCTAACACAATAGAATGCACAATACAATTTGAAGGTTAGATGTCTTAGAATGAGTTAATACAGATGAGTGGACGGCCTATGTGGTCTAATGGTAGAGCATCCTCCCGGAGAGCGGAAGGTCCGGGGTACAATCCCCAGCCATGTCATACCATAAGACGTTAAAAGATGGTACTTGTTGTTACCCTGTCTGGAGCTAGGCAAAAGGGGCTAAAACAAGGACTGGTCGGCTTGGAGTCAGTCTACTGTCTGAGTGGGGTATTCATGTTAAACTGCGGCATGATATTTCAGTGGGCTAGCGCTATAAAATCAGCATCAGAACAGACTAGTACAAGCAGCTACGCACGCATCACGTCGCTATATGAGTACAATATATTTGGACGGGATGTAAAACCCCATTTTACCTCACAGATAAGCGTACATCCTTAAAACAATTTGGAGTTTCTTGGATTCAGTGAAGTGGACTCCCTGACTTTAATTCCCTGTCATGTCTTGCAGGGGTTACCCACCTGAACACACGCCTGGCAAGCTGAGTATTGACGAGAACAGCGAGATGGACACCAACCGCAGCGCCTCTGTCATCATCACCCGTGACGACAGCATCCTCGACGAGACCAACAACACCTTCCAGGATCTGCAGCCTCTCGACTTCAGCAACCTCTCCATCGACATGACCAACCCAAAAGAGGTCAAGGTCAGTGGAATGACATTCTTTTGTGGTAACTTAAGAAAACAGTGAAAGCTTCTAGCATTTGTCCAGATGTTTTGTGTTCCATGTTCTGTTATTTTTGACAATCTTAATCAGTAGGTGTGGAAGCAATAAAATAGAAGAGACGTACAGGATTATTTTATTTTTATTCTTCAAAAATGTATATGAATATTTCGCCAAGTGAGCAGTGGTAGTTTTTATCTCTTGCATTTAATTGGATGCATATTTTTTGTGGTGAACATGTAAGTTTGCAAATAAAAATGCTTTTCAGATTATCTATTTCTATGTTCAAGAATCTGGAAACTAGTCTTGCAGGAGTTGTACTATTGTCAGCTGCAATGGTCATGCTGAATACCTTTACCTATATTGCTTGTCATAAGAGGCGACTATGCTTGTCGTAAGAGGATAATATGCTTGTCGTAAGAGGCGGCTAACGGGATCGGGTGGTCAGGCTCACTGACTTGGTTGATGCTTGTCATCCTATCCCAGTTGCCAGACCTGGAATTCCTGCGAGTGTGGTGAGTGATTGTGTTCAGCACACTGTGGCTGTACACCTGTGTGTCTGTGTTGCAGGTGGAGATGGAGATGTTGCGACGGAGTGTGAAGGAGGAGAGTGTGGCGAGGATGAAGGCGGAGCAGCGAGAACTCAGGGTGAGTCACCCAATGTTGCAGCATCCATGTCCATCCCTGATGATGATGATGATGATGATGATGATGATGATGATGATGATGGTGATGATAACAATCTTGTGTTGCACTTTTCCATGCTGCACATGATGCTCAAAGTACATTATTATTACCCCCTTCAGTGGATCAGTGTGCACTCAATTATCATTCTCAGCTCCCTGGGGAGTATACAACAGTTTCCATCATTGATCTGTCGCATGAACCAATTAGACAACGGCAGTTGTTTTCATTCAGTGCTGCCTGTTGTATGTCTGTATGACCCTTTCATAAAGAAATGTGTTTTTTACCCAGTCAAAAATCAACATTAGATGCCTTTTTAAAGGATGATTATAAATGAGAAGTTCTTCAAAGTGTTGACGAACATCCAAGATCTGGGAAATCCAGAATTCCTCCTGATGGTTAGGCTGGGATTTGCAGCATCTTGACTACTATTGAGGTTTACCAGCAAAACAATAGGATGATGCCACTATAGGAGTCTGTTGGTCCTCTCCTATTGTGTTGTGTCATATGTAATCTTTGTGTTGTCAGCTGAGTATTGAGAACAAGCGTCTTAGCGAGGAGATGAAGTACCTCCGACACAAGGCCAGCGCTGGGGGCATTGTCAGTGACGTCCACCTGGGCATGAACGGCGGACACGGCGCCTTCGTCGATGAAAGCTTCCTGGAGGGAGTGGAGGCCTCATTTAAGAAGTTCCACAAGTTTCTGGACATGCTGCATGAAGCAGGGTAAGGACATGCTGCATGAAGGGGGTAAGGACATGCTGCATGAAGCAGGGTAAGGACATTGGGTGTAAGGACATGCTGCATGAAGCAGGGTAAGGACATGCTGCATGAAGCAGGGTAAGGCCATTGGGTGTAAGGACATGCTGCATGAAGCAGGGTAAGGACATGCTGCATGAAGCAGGGTAAGGACATGCTGCATGAAGGGGGTAAGGACATTGGGTGTAAGGACATGCTGCATGAAGCAGGGTAAGGACATGCTGCATGAAGGGGGTAAGGACATTGGGTGTAAGGACATGCTGCATGAAGCAGGGTAAGGACATTGGGTGTAAGGACATGCTGCATGAAGCAGGGTAAGGACATTGGGTGTAAGGACATGCTGCATGAAGCAGGGTAAGGACATGCTGCATGAAGCAGGGTAAGGACATTGGGTGTAAGGACATGCTGCATGAAGCAGGGTAAGGACATTGGGTGTAAGGACATGAAGCAGGGTAAGGACATTGGGTGTAAGGACATGCTGCATGAAGCAGGGTAAGGACATTGGGTGTAAGGACATGCTGCACGAAGCAGGGTAAGGACATTGGGTGTAAGGACATGCTGCATGAAGCAGGGTAAGGCCATTGGGTGTAAGGACATGCTGCATGAAGCAGGGTAAGGACATGCTGCATGAAGCAGGGTAAGGACATTGGGTGTAAGGACATGCTGCATTAAGCATGGTAAGGGCATTGGATGTAAGGACATGCTGCATGAAGCAGGGTTAGGACATAAGGACATGTAGGGGTAAGGACATGCTGCATGGAGGACTTGCTGCATGCTCAATGATGTAAATATATCTAGTTCAAATTGAGGTGCCTCCTGAATACCTTCAGTGAGTTGTTTCTGATGCTTGTGTTGTCTTTGCAGACTGAGTGAGCTGATCACAATGGCAGGACTTGACCAGTCTGAAATCATGAACCCCTTCGACCACCTGTCCTCCACCAGGCTGTCGGGTGTCTCCTTCGCGCGACACAACACTCCCGTCAGCAAACCTGCCCACACTAACGGTGTGGACCTGTCCGTCCCTACGTCAGCCATGCCCATCGCCAAAGCTGAGCCTTCCTCATCTCAAGGGTTACAGGAACAGATGGCTTTCGGTGCTAAGCCTTTTGTACCGAACACATCAGCCTATTTTGGTGACATTTCATCCAGCTACCGTGCCAACCCGACTGTCGGCTCATTTGAAGAGGAGCTTCCCATTACTTACGGTCCGGTCATGTCTGAGAATAACCTTCGACCTGGTGCCAGAGTTCAAGCAGCAGGGTCAAGGATGCCCTTCCCGACCAACGAGTCTATGATAGGAGGTCCGGCAAGGACAGATGACCTTTATGAGAAGTTGCTGCAGGATACAAGTGGGGTGTTCCCACACATCGGACAGGGCGGGGCCGGATCCCCTGCTGGATCGCTGACCTCGACCCCGGTGGTAAAGAGCACAGAGAGCAAGGCTGGGCCAGTGAAGTCAGCACAAACCGGGCAGGATGGACAGAAGAAAGGGCAAATAGAAGAAGACTCGAAAGGAAGAGGGGAAGAGAAAGATCGTCCCGAAGACAGGAAACCCAGAACAGATAAAGACCAGGGTCCTTTTGGTAATGGTACTGGGTCAGAGGTCAGAGCAAGGTCACAAGGTGAAGGTCAGGATGCTTCCAAACAGTTTGATGTCTCAGAGCAGTCTGATATCATGGAGGTGCTTGATCGAGCGGCCTCTCCTGAAAAAGAATCTCCAGAACACAGATCCAAAATGAGTGATTTTAACTACAGTATGGACAGTTTTGATCAGTCATATGTCAGTGAGAGGGAAGAGGTCATTCACCTTGGAGATGACCTTGACCTTGGGGGGTCACCATCACCACCGCCACAGGTTGTTGAAAGCGAGGAAGATTTTTAGACTGGCTGCTGAATATGTAAATCTCGACTCTGTTTTGAGCAATCTTTTCCTTTCTCTTTATTCTTTGTATGTTTCCTTCCAACATTTTGTGGTATCCAAGTCCCAGGCTTAGTGCTTTTGTTTGTAGAAAATGTTTTAGTGTAAATAACATTGTTTGTGTACATAGGGGGAGGACAGGTCACCATGACCAGTTGCAAAACTATTAACAGATGCAATGTACACATAGCCTTGTAGTAGTCATTGATAATATTTCACTGATAATATTTCATTGATATTCATTGATAATATTTCATTGATAATATTTCACTGATAATATTTCATTGATATTCATTGATAATATTTCATTGATAATATTTCATTGATAATATTTCATAGGTCTGTTTACCCTACATTCCAGCTTCAGCCATGAATACGTTTGGCTGCTTTGTAGTGCTTCATACACACTGGCTTCAGTAAACAGATGCAGGCCATGGCCTATCAGTGTATGTGTGACGGTGATGGAGGGAGCGTGTAGACAGACCTGGGAGGTGTTGAGTCTATTGACGAGGGGTAGTACACAATGTATGGGGACATGCAGTCAATAGTAGGGAAGTATCTCAAGTAATCATCATTGTAACATAGCAATATTCACTCTCTCAAACAGCCAAAAACATGTGTGTGAAAATGGGCATCCATCATTGAGGGGGTATATTATTTTGCAATATTGTTAAACTTTGCAGGTTTTGTGTGACCATAGCTCATGGACTACGATGATGTCACTGTCAAATGACATCACTAATCTCTGCCACTGAGACTAGTTAAGTAGTTAACAGTACTTTTTACAAACAAGACACTGTAAAATGTCAAGGTAGAATGTGTTTTTTAAGGATAAAGAGACTCTCAACTTCCTGGGGAGTATAAAGCCCAAGTAGCATGATGTATTTCTTTGCTGTTTTAGTATCATAGTTTCAAAATAATCAAATCAGGTCCTGTGTATTGGGAGCCATGTCTGTGATACTCTATATTTCATGTATTTTTTGTGTGAGATTTAGATTTAGTGAAATCAAAATATTTTGATTTTGAATATTTAGGAATTTAAATTTGAATTTTCTTCATTCCATGTGTAGCAAGTTTTTTTTTTTTTTGGTTGTCTTTTTTTATGTTTTATTGTATGTATTGAAGAGGTAGGAACTCTAACACTGGATACAGGGGAACCTTGTTAATCCACACTGAACACACTGTCCACATTATAAGGTGTCTACAGTAACAAATTTCACTTATTTACAAACAACTTGATTCCATCAAATTGGCTTTGAATTTAAAGGGGCACTAATCTCTGAGTTCTCCTCAGCTCTCTGACACTGGCTACTGGAGCCGTGAGTTGATTTGCTCGCTAACGCAACTGTATTAAACAACAAAAATGATTAAGACGGTCAACAATAGATTAATTATGCTACGATTAGAAGCCAAACAATATAGAAATGTACTTTTAATCCTATAATTTTCAGTCACTTGGTGATGTTATATAACATAAAAATGTTTGGAACTTGTTATCTTAATAATACAGATGGACATATTTTCAGTCCATTTGTAAAATAACTGAATATTTTGGCATTTAATAAATTTCTCAAGTGAAAGTTTTGCCCAGAATATAAACATAATAAAATAAGCAATGCTGAGGTGAAATATTTACTTTGTGCTGTAAGTCAAAATAGTGTAAACGAAAATCGCACAATTACAAAGCAAGTGACTTATCAAAACTTCGTCACCATTACCAATGCTACCCACAAAGATACCTACATTTCCTTATTATTTCCAAAACTGTATTTCATTTTGTTGATCAATGCGACCATCGCCCTTATACTATCAATAAAAGTGACAAATGTGCTTACAAGTGGTGCAGCACAGGTCGCAAAATGGTCTAGATTTCTGCTGTTTCATCCGGGTACTAACGGGGAAAAAACAATAACAAAGGCATCAACCAGTCCCGGGGAATTGCTGTAGATAACTGGATCAGGTGGTCAGGCTCTCTGACTTGGTTGAGGCATGTCATCATTTCCCAATTGTGTGGATCGATGCTCATGACATCAATCACTGGATTGTCTGGTCCCAGGCTCGATTATTTACAGACCACTGTCAATACCTGGAATATAGCAGTGCGGTATTAAACAACAAATAGACCCTACAGGAGAGGATTCATAAAAGTATGCTGTTTTCAATGGAAATACCAAGCTTACCTTTTTACCAGATGTACGTATTAGAAATAGAAATTGAATTGTGTGACAAATAGGCGAACATGATAGATATATTTTATTCCTAATAGGCATCCAACAGTGTATTGATCTGATTAAAAGTAGTTCCTCCCAGGGGACTTCATCTGTATATTTATCAGATCGTGGAAGCAACTTTACCAGATTGCTTTATTGCATTGCAGTCAATATAAATATACATCACATGATGAGTTGTTGTTGATGCTGCTGTGATACAGCTGAGATGGAAACAAACGTTACAATACCAGCAATATCGAGTGTTTCGGTTGGAAGAAAAATATCAGTGACACCAACCAGGACGATGTTGGCGGAGTCAGAAGCAGTTGGCTCCAAATTCAGCCAATATGATGAAGTGAAATACGCTCGTATATTACAAATTTTGTAAAAATATATGTCAGTTTTTGTCATTGAAATCTCGAATCAATCAGTTTGGTTTTGTGTTTACTAAATAAGTTTCTTTAATTGTTTGCCTCCTTCACCTCATAAACTTAGTTTGTTGTTTGATTGAAAATCTTGACATTAGAAACTGGTCTCAGTTGTCAATGCTTTTCCAGTGTGATTTGTACAATACAGAGTTATGTCCCCTTGATTTTGCAATGACCCTGTTTCAAAACATACTGTCAATCCTTCAGATAGTTACCAATTTTATTTCGGAGAATATATTCAGACGCATTTATTCCTGATATTCCTCGTCGTCAAGTTGCAGGTTAGCAGCTCTGAACCTTATGAGTTTCCGCTGTAGTTTTGTGTTTGAAAGTGCAGTTTTCGGTTTTCACTGTGTGTGAGATAGTGTTCTAGATAACAATGTAAGATCTGTACAAGTTAGTACACCAACTGTATATAGTCTGTGTATTGATCTGGGGAATAAATACACTTCTTTTTTTATATACATGTTTCTTCTTTATATGCAGTGCCTTGTGGTGTGGCAGCAGTGTGTAACAGATTAAGAATAATTGTCTGCCATACGCAATGTTTGCTCAAAGTGCTGCATTATTACTAGGGTTGCGACGGGTGCTCGAGTACCCGATAACGGGTCGGGTAGCCTAGGACTCGAGTCCAATTTTCAGGACTTGAGTACCCATGCAGGGGAGATAACTCGTAAGTCACTTCAAAATGGACGACAAAGCGGACAAACGTTCAAATGTTTGGGCGTATTTTGACCTTGATGACACAAAGAAAAAGACCAAATGCCGTCTCTGTGGCATATGTATCAGTTACGCAGGTAGTTCGATGAGTTCCATGAAAAAGCATCTAAGTTTTAAACACAAGAGCATTTACTTTGATATTCTGCGTCATACCAAAAGACGTTAAAAGATGGTACTTGTTGTTACCCTGTCTGGCGCTCGGCATTAAGGGGCTAAAACAAGGACTGGTCGGCATGGTATCTCAGTCGGACGCGACGTTAAACTCAATTTCACCTGACCTCACCTCATCCTACCGGGTACCCACTCACTGCTGGGTGAACAGAGATATAATTGAATAAAGTCACCTGCCTAAGGAGATGCCACATATGCTGTGACGTGGGCGAGACACACAGGACTATGTGTGAGTGAGTTGGTACACGTTGTTTAAGTGAGCTTGAAACATACCATCCTCAATTATCCAGTGTATTATTTTTCCACTATTATGATTAATACCCTGGACCCATTCTTTGTTTTGTTTCTTGTCGCAAACTTAGCACAGGATTCTGCACAGATGTACATTCAAAGACAAGGCACTGTTGATGTGTGAATCATTTTTGTGAAAGATTTTCAGCTGAAAAACATGTTTTTCTGAGTACAGTAAACTACGCTTATAACGAACACGCTTATAACGAACTAACGGATATAACGAAATAACTTTTTAGTCCCGACTATATGCTGTAGTTATGCTGTATATATGCTTATAACGAATTACGGTTATAACGAACTAAAATTAGTAGTCCCTTTGAGTTCGTTATAACCGTAGTTTACTGTACTTAACTTCTTTTTCTAGTGGGTAGAGTGTTTGTCCGAAGAACAGAAGGTCGGCGGTTTGATTCCCTGGGCACATATGGTACTCGTTGTTACCCTGCCTGGCACTCGAAGATTAGGTGATAAAACAAGGACTGGTCGGCTCGGAGTCGGTATACTGTGTCTGAGTGGGGTATTCATGATAAACTGCTGCATGGTATCTCAGTGTGCTAAAACAAGGACTGGTCGGCTCGGAGTCAGTATACTGTGTCTGAGTGGGGTATTCATGATAAACTGCTGCATGGTATCTCAGTGTGCTAAAACAAGGACTGGTCGGCTCGGAGTCAGTATACTGTGTCTGAGTGGGGTATTCATGATAAACTGCTGCATGGTATCTTGGTGGGCTAAAACAAGGACTGGTCAGCTCGGAGTCAGTATACTGTGTCTGAGTGGGGTATTCATGATAAACTGCTGCATGGTATCTCGGTGGGCTAGCACTATTAATTGGCATTAGTCGGGACTGATACAAGCAGCCACACACGTCCATGAACGTCGTTATGTAAATGCAATAATCTTGAATGCATTGTTGAACCCCATTTCACCTGACCTGTGAGGACTAAACAGGGACATGCTTGATGTATTTGTGACAGTAAGTGCCGAGAGATTGCTAGTGATATCCACGCTTGTATAAATCAAGAAAGAACAGTTGATCGTGTCCTTCAAACCGGGCTCAAAACAAAGGGTCCAGGGTCTATATCCAAACAGAAAGGAGATATGATACCCTTGATAATCGAGGATGGCACCAGACAAGGTTATTATTGGTCCCCAGCAACCTGTACCCTAACCCGAGCAACCTGTACCCTAACCCTAACCCTAACCCCAGCAACCTGTACCCTAACCCCAGCACAATGTACCCTAACCCTAACCCCAGCAACCTGTACCCTAACCCCAGCAACCTGTACCCTAACCCCAGCAACCTGTACCCTTACCCCAGCAACCTGTACCCTAACCCTAACCCTAACCCCAGCAACCTGTACCCTAACCCTTACCCTAACCCTAACCCCAGCAACCTGTACCCTAACCCCAGCAATCTGTACCCTAACCCTAACCCTAATCCCAGCAACCTGTACCCTAACCCTAACCCTAACCCCAGCAACCTGTACCCTAACCCCAGCAACCTGTACCCTTACCCCAGCAACCTGTACCCTAACCCTAACCCCAGCAACCTGTACCCTAACCCTTACCCTAACCCTAACCCAAGCAACCTGTACCCTTACCCCAGCAACCTGTACTTGCTGTACATAGTGACTATGTGGATGGATTGTTTGGTCTGGCTCACTGCTGGGTCATGCTGGACAAGGCTCATATCAATCACTGTTGTGTGGGGCCCAGGCTTGCTTATTTACAGGCCACCATCATATTGCTGGAATATTGCTGAGTGCAGGCATCAAACCAATCAGACCAGACCAGACAAATCACTGTCTGCAACATGGGGGTGTGATGACAGGCAGTTTACAAGGTCACTAAGCCAGACCACACATTTTGTTTACACTCCTATAACAAACATAGGTTTCTGGGAACAATTCTACTCCGGAGTCCCACTGGGCCAGGATGTTGTCCTGGGAGCAGATATTTGTTCAGCTACAGCTGCAAAACCAGATGTTTTTTAAATTAAAAATATGAGCCAAAATATTCTAAAAAACACATTACAAAAATGTAATTTTTGTGGCAGAAAATATCTTTTTTATCCAACAATATGAAGCATAAACATTTTTTTCAAACATTTTCATCTGTAAATAAACTTTGGTCTAATAGTACATAACCTATAACAGAGATTTAAGATTATACCTACCGTATTCGACGTAATAAGTGCCATGATCTAATAAGCACCCATGGCAATATTTGCTATATATATTTTGGCTAGTGAACAATCCCAATTAGCACCCTTCCGATCGATCAATGTACACACAACTTATTTATCCGTGTATAATACGCACTCGTGTGTTATATGCACCCTTAATTTCGGAAATTAAATACATCTGTCGTGTATAATACAGACTTTTCTTTTGTATCATTTCAGATTGTAAGCATAAACCACGAAATTTACGATCTTTCAACTCTTTCACCAAAATTATATTCTAATAAGAGCCCCTATTTCTAATTTTGAGAGCGCCCTGGGCATGTATTACGTCGATTATGGTATTTGATTTAAGTAGCTTAAGAAGCTGTTCAGGGATAAGGTTCAAGATAAGCTTGTGTTAATCCAGCTCAGTAATTGTGTGAATCCAGCATAATCACTGTGCTAATCCAGTGAGCCTTAGTTACTGCTACACCGAGCCTGGTAACGAGCTGGACACTGTCCACACCTGGTCAGCTGTTGTCCCATACCACAGGCCAAGTTACCACTGACCATTGCAATGACCTTGATCTGATATGCTATCAAGTCCCCTCTCACTGTTCACCCCCTAAACACAACCCTCCTGTGCCTTGCTGGGTGAGGCTTGGGAACTGTCAGGAAACGTTGTTTAATATATGTTCTCATTCAAAGTTGGATTGCTAAATTCTTGGTGTCAGATGCTGTGATCTGGCTGGACTGTTGGTAAAAATGCTGCCTTGATGTGACAGTTGGAAGTAAATCGATGGACTTGTGTTCCTGTGCAGTTTAAGACAATTCAAGGATGAATCAAGGAAGAATGCTTTGTTTAGCATTCAGTAAAGTGATGGACTAGCAAGTGTTAAACCAGAGCCGGTTAGTGTTCAATTGGACAACACTTCATGAAATTGTCTTTTATCTCCCGATTCAAGGAAATTGTGCAAGAACAATCCTGTATTGTTCAACAACGCTCCTGTTTTTTAAAATGAAATTGTCCAAGAAATCCTGATTCAAGTGAATGGTCCAAGAACAATCCAGTACTGTTCATCAATTCTTTTTTGTTCTTAAAGAAGATAATTGTGCAGGAAATTATCCCAGAAGTGTTGTGTTGTTTGTAGACAGGAAGACAAGTGACCTGGTGATGGTCAATCTGCATGTTGGCTGTACCAAGTCACTCAGTGCTGGAGAGCACCAGATGTGTAGACAACAGGACATGTTTACTAAAGAGACAACAAGGCCCTCTTAAACAGAACTATCCTTGTGTCTTGAATTGTGTCACAGAATATGTGTGATTTGGGATAGTGAACATTCATATTTATGAAGCCTGTGGTTGACATCTTGTATTGATTTCTGGGATCAGTAATAGTATACTTTATAGGATTAGTATAATGTGTGTAGTGTTTTAATACATGGATAATTTTAAATTTTTCATCACCATTTGGAGTAATTGTCTGGAGATTTATACCTTCTAAATGACATAAAAAATTCTTGTGAATGACCAAAATCAGATCTGGAACTGTTTACGGAACAGCTTGTTTATTAACTGAAGGTACAACAAAAAAGAACATTTGCATTCCCCTAAGTGTGTTGTTCAGTGCCGTGCAGTATTTCCTAAGTTTGCTCGACCAAACAAGTTTGGGGTTTGGCCAGTGAGACAAGACCGTGGTCCTCATCAAATATTCAAACAGGGACTGTTAAAATTAACCCTTATTCCCAAAAATATCAGTTGAGGCTACTAGCCTTAATTTTTTGTATCATTTTCAGAAGAAGGTTAGTCTAATTTTAATAGAGGCTGATGAAAGTTTATTTGACTTGAGCTTGGAACAAGTGGCTAAAGCTGTATATTGCCTTACTCTGTTCTGAAAACATCATGTCTGCCCAGAACATATTTTCAGGATCATTTTCAGCTGTGCCTTTTTTTTAAAACTTCAGACCACCTGCAAAAGTTGAAAACTACAAGGCTTCATAACTCCACTGTCTAGAGTGAGGGTCGTACTAGATACAGTATCCCCGATTCCCTTGTCTCTGACCAATGGAGGGTCTGTCGGGCCACAGGATGCCTCCATTAAGGGGAGACAACTCACTGTCTGGCCCTGTGTATTCAACCATGAGCCAGAACGGCCCATTCAGACTTGCAGAATTAAGAAAAAGCACACCAACCAAGAGGAAGTCTAAGTCTGGTAACCGTAGCAACCGGATGCCACCGATTCAAGGGGCCAGCCAACCAAGTCCCAAAGTGGTAAATCCAGGCACCATTGAGAGAACGGTGGAAGACGCCATGGTAACCTGTCTGCAGGATGTGATGTACGATACCGAGACTTGCATTCGTCTTTCAAAGACTCTCGCCGGGACGATTATGGAGAAAATAAAGCCGTTGTCGTGTGGCCGCTACAAGATGGTTGCCGTGGTAAGCATCGGCAACATCAAGGAGCAGTCTGGGATGCAGTTCGGCAGCCGGTGTCTGTGGAACAAGGAATCAGACTCCTTCCTCAGCGTCAAGTACGCAAATGACTCACTGTTTGCTGTCGCTATGGTGTATTCACTGTTGTTTGAATAACAAAGTTGTGTACTTTATGTGAAAGTTTTGTACTTGCTGTTGCGTGAGTGAGGCCATGTATGGTGAACTTGCTGTTGTGAGAGTGAAGCCATGGTGAACTCGCTGTTGCGTGAGGCCATGGTGAACTCGCTGTTGTGTGAGTGAGGCCATGGTGAACTCGCTGTTTGAGTCCAGGAAGAACTTGCTGTTGTGTGAATGAGGCCAGGGAGTTAACTGACTATAAAAGTCCAGTTTCCACCCTTGCCAAACTAGGCTGAAATTCTGGAGTAATATTTTGGCTCAACTAACAAGACTATACATAGTCCAATCAAAATCGCATAACAAAATCGACATCTGGTTTGTAAACTGCCGTGCAGATTTCAGTTGATTGCAGAATTTGCAAAGCATGTTTACTGTCAACTTAGTGTCAACAGATATTTTCCAAATCATTTCATGTTTTTAATCAAGGTGCTCACGTGATTTGATGCACTTCACGAAATAAGACCCGTTTTATTACAATTATAGATCTTGATTATCGATCAGATTGTCTTGATCGGGTGCCGCCATTTTGTCAGAAGTATATGGAAGTCATATGAGAGGTGGGATCTGTTTTGTCAATAGGCGGGTCATAGAAGGGACATAACTCATAATAGCCACTGGTGGTGCTACGATCGAGCCCAGAATTTCAGTTCGGCAAGGGTGGAAAGTGGACTTCTACAGTCAGTTAACTCCCTTGCCTCGGAAAGATGACTACAGAGAAACAAGACTGAGGTCAGCCTATGTTTCAGATTATGTAATGTTATTAATTTGTGACCTCAGCAGCACTGGATGACGTCAGATGATATTGTTACCAACAATGAAGCACTGTGATGTGATACCGCTTGAGCTGGTCAATCAGCATTGAGAACCGCTGCAGTGCACATGTGCAAATATCGGAAAGTTGTTTCATATAATCTTTCTGCCACAATGGGTGACGTTCTGGCATCAGGATTGATGTATCAGTAATGAGGACAACAGATGTCATGGTATAGTTATATTTCTTGAAACAGTAAAAGTATCATCACATCCTGTCATTGAAGTATTGTGTTGTGTGTTTGAAACTGCCATTGCCATGTAACTTATCAAGTGTTGTTTGTGAACCTAATATAGAGTACATTGATATTAATTGGATTGTGAAACAAAACAGTTGAAATCAAATAGTTTGTGTATTCATGTAATGGGATGTAGCGATGACATTAAAGGAGCATTCAACAGGTGAACATAGGAGAAAAACAAATCCAAAGGTCTTGACATATCCCCACCCCACCCCAATGTTGATATATATCCAGCAAGCTTGGCACACCCTGTCTCCTGTGTATTACCAGTGACTCCTCACAGCAGTGTGAATCCTACTTCACTTCAACCTTTTCTGGTTTTAAGTGGCGACCAAATGGAAGGGGTTGTCCGCATCGGCGACTTGGTTGACGTGTCATGGTACCCAGATGGTGTTGATCGTTGTTCACAACTTTGCTCACTGGATTGTGGGGTCCTGACTTATTTATATAGATATTGCCATCATACAGCTGGAATATTGCTGAAAGCAGTGTTAAACATCTGACAAACTTTATTTTCACTGGCGATAACCCCTCACAGATTGGCACATCATCCTTACCAACCACCTGAAGTGATATAAAATCTTCGGGATATGTGTGGCAGAAGTAGGTGCATGGGTGGCGATGTTAGGCAAACATGAGGTGAGGTGAGGTGAGGTGAGGTGAGGTGAGGTGAGGTGAAATGGGGTTTAACGTCGCGTCCAAGATTATTGCACTTATATAGCGACGTGCATGTACGTGTGTGTGTTTGTGTGGCTGCTTGTACTAGTCCGGACTGATGCCGTTTTATAGTGCTAGCACATTGAGATACCATGCCACAGTTTAACATGAATACCCCACCCAGACACAGTATACTGACTCCGAGCCGACCAGTCCTTGTTTTAGCCCCATAATGCTGAGCGCCAGACAGGGTAACAACAAGTACCATCTTTTAACGTCTTTTGGTATGACGCGACTGGGGATCGAACCTGGACCTTCCACTCTCCAGACGGACGCTCTACCACTAGGCCACGGAGGCGGTCTAGGCAAACATGACACATGAGAGCTTATTTAGCTTCGATTTAGCTTCGACTGTGCCCTGCACGTTTCATGTGGTGTCTCCTCAGCTGAAAATTGTTCGAACTTTGGCTCTGTACATCCAGCAGTGAATTGATACTTGGTCGATGAAACTGTAATATTATGTAAAACCTGGGCTGAGAATGTAATTTTGAGTACACACTGATCCAATGTCCAGAGTAATATTCGTGTAGTGCCATGCCCATGACTCAGGGCAGGAATACACATGCACCTTGATTATATTATTATTAAATATTAATGACAATATAAATATATCAACAAGCAATAACAGAAGACAAACGTCAACATTGTATACAATAATCTTTATGTTGAGAAACTTGACACATATACCATAATATGATCCATGGACATAATTCCATTTCTAATTTACAATTACATTTATGATCAACAAGGATGTCTTATACATGGTGAAGATGACAGTGATGGGTGATCAGGGAGGAAGATAGTCTTAAGTATCTTTGTCAACTGATGAGTGCGTACATCATAGCACAATTAGGCCACAATAAATGCATTATCCCTTTTTCATTTTTTATATATGTAAAGAGATATTATAGGCTACTCAAAAGAAGTTAGACAACTCGCGACTTTTTCATGACTATAGTTAATCTGTCTGGTGGTGGGTATTGTAACACAACGTTCCACATGTGGGTGTTCTTTAAATTGTTTTCACTAGTAACTATATTAAACAAGCTGTTCAAGGCATCAGTCTACATTTTCTTATTTATTTCATTAAGTGTGACTGTATTTCAACAAGTACAGAAAGAAGTGAAACGCATATACATTTTCTTCATCTGTACGTACTTTGGGACAATAAAACAATTTGCGGGAATAAAAATCTAACAATTACTTTATTGTGGCCTTAAAATATAATAAAAATCAATTAAATATATTATTTTGGTGATGTGTATTGTTTCATTCAGTAAATATTGATTACTTCATTTTCCTTCAACTGAAACAAGAGTACCGTATTCAACGTAATAAGCGCCCAGGGTGCTCTCAAAATTAGAAATAGGGGGCTCTTATTAGAATAGTAATGTTTTTAGCCTGAAATGTTTCTATACGACAGATAAATTTTTCCAGAATTTAATTGCCCATAATTAAGGGTGCATATAACACACGAGTGCGTATTATACACAAATAAATAAGTCTTGTGTAAATTGATCAATCGGAAGGGGTGCTAATTGGGATTGTTCACTAGCCAATATATTAACAAATATCGCCGTGGGCGCTTATTAGAGCGGGGCGCTTATTACGTCAAATACGGTAATTTCAGTGTGATCAAAGAAAGACTTTTATAAATACACATCCAAACATTTGCTGAAAGGATATCCCTCAATATCAGATTGGACAGTACAAAAATGTGCCACTTTGAGTATTTTCAAAAACTTTTTAAAGCTTCACCTGTTTCCTTTTCTATGTACAAGACAAGGCGAAGATGTTCTGAGAGCTACAAATATAGCAAAATAATGTTCCTCCTCACATTAATGATGCTGCTAACGCTGATGTAATCATCATAATCATATTGTATGTACTGTGCACCGTCAGTACGTGATGAGTTTGTGTACACTACGTTCCCCATCACCTGTGATGTTAGGATGTACAGAGGTGGGATTCAGGTCAAACTGGTCCCCAGCAACTGATGCTGGTTGCTAGAGGCGACTGAATAGATCAAGTGGTCACACTCGGTGACTTGGTTCATTGCATGTGATCGTACCCGGACGACATGGAACGTTGCTCATAATATCAATCACTGGATTGTCTGGTCACCATAATATACCTGGAATCCTGCAGAGTTAAGACAAACAAACAAACAAACAAACAAACAATACTCCATGCATGAATTTGCATGAGACAATGGTCACACATGCTGTAAGCTCAGAAAATTTCTGTATGTAATGTAAACTGAGACCTCATTGATTTGAGCACAGGGCTCTCCTCCCGCTCCAACCAGCCGTACCTCAATTCTGTGGTATAATATAGCAACTACACCACACAGTGGCTTCAGTCACTTGTTTGTGTTTTTATTCCAGCTAAATGACCTGAAAATTACTGATTCTAGACCAGACAATCCAATGACTGATATTATGAGCAAAGATCCACGTCATCGGGCTACAATCAAACACAGCCAAGTCACCGAGATTGAATACCTGAACCGTTAACTCGCTTCATGACAATCCTAGATTGCTGTGGACCAAGTGTCCCCCCTGCACAGTTCTGTACATGTCCACATGCGATGGGTACATGGAAGCCAGGGAGTTATCGAGGATGTGCAGTGCAGGACACACAGACAGTTACAGAACTGAAGGACACATGACACACTCAACACAAGCTCCACATGCAGTCATTCAGGATTCCTTCCTCCAGGTATGTCTGGAATGCTTGTTTGTCACAGGCTTTTGGTCATGATGAGGTTAATTCTACAGCATCACAGAGCAAGCCTTTCACAGTTTCTGAACGCCTTTGTTCCATACAGTCAGTCTTTGTGTTGTTCAGTTACGGACACTTTTCAAAACAGTTCAAAAGTATTTGTCCAATGATTGCAACAGCATGCTTTGCAATCTGTAAGCCTTTTTTCATTACCATATTTGCCACATTAAGCGCCCTGCATCAGTAAGCCCTCCAGACCAACTTCTAGATCAGTCTGTAAGTACTACTTATAACAGCCCCTGACTAAGACAGAAAAGTTCCATCACAATCTGTATTTTCATGTGTATATTACAGAACAGCAGTACAGAAGTACAGAAGAGGCGTACAATTGGCAAGTTACTAGTGTTTGTTTTGTCAACATTTTAAGGACGTTTGTTCACAGCCGATTGATCTCTAAAAAAAACCTAGCATGTGTATAGTTTTAATAAGCATCCCCCTTTCTAAATTTTCTAATCTCCAATAGCACTTATTACAGCAAATGTGGTACCTTCTTAACAAAGAGAAAGAAAATAGGACACCAGAAGTATGCTTCACATATTGTAGCATGTGGGGAACAAAACTGGGTCTTCATACTGACAAGCTGATCCTTGAACCATGAAGCAACTCTATGGTCATGAAACACAAAGAAACTGAAAATCAAATTGTTGTTGAAAGTGTAGGTCTTATTGCAACCATCACTGGGACTGCTAAACAAAAGGGCAATACTGTATATTACTTTGAAAGAGGGGGAAAATCTTCCACAATGGTTGTAATATCCAACACTGTATTATCTAACATATAAAATTTATGAACATTCGAACGAAAACATTTAAAAAAAAACCAATGTCCTCATAACAAACATTCTACCCGGTTAAAATGTTTTACACATTGAACAAGAAACTAGATCTACAGGTTTCCTGACATTACAACACAAACTAGCACCTTTATAATACACTAGGATCGCACACGTCATAAACTCCCTTGTGTTCAGGTATGCCAAGCATCCATCCTAATCCTTTGTTGTTTGCTGTTCAAAGTTGCAGTCAGCAATATTCCAGCTATATGATGGCAGCCTGTAAACAATCCAGTCTGAACCTCCGACCAGTGGTCGAAATCACGAGCATCGATCCCACGTCAATGGGGTGCAACTCTATGGTCATGAAACACAAGGAAACTGAAAATCAAATTGTTGTTGAAAGTGTAGGTCTTATTGCAACCATCACTGGGACTGCTAAACAAAAGGGCAGTTCTGTATATTACTTTGAAAGAGGAAGAAAATCTTCCAAAATGGTTGCAATATCCAACACTGTATTAAAGACAAAAACAATGAAATAAAACCTGCCCGATTTAACAGAACCACAGGAGAGAAGTGTTTCTATAAATTACAATTTTAAGAGTTACCTCCCTTTGCGATAATGGCAATCTTGTTTGGAGATTACTGGTATATTTTTTCAAAACAGCATGAAAAACAATAAAAAAAAAAAAAATTTATCCCCCATAAGTGAATTTGGGGTTGAAAGATCCGAAAACCACAGATAAGTACTAATAGATCCCAGATACAATTTGTTTTATTAATTCCCAAAAGCCTGTGATATCAAGATAGATAGACATGATAAATATATCTAACATATAAAATTTATGAACATTCGAACGAAAACATTTTTTTTAAAAACAATGTCCTCATAACAAACATTCTACCCGGTTGAAATGTTTTACACATTGAACAAGAAGCTAGATCTACAGGTTTCCTGACATTACAACACAAACTAGCACCTTTATAATACACTAGGATCACACACGTCATAAACTCCCTTGTGTTCAGGTATGCCAATCATCCATTCTAATCCTTTGTTGTTTGCTGTTCAAAGTTGCAGTCAGCAATATTCCAGCTATATGATGGCAGCCTGTAAATAATCCAGTCTGAACCTCAGACCAGTGGTCGATATCACGAGCATCATTCCTAGGTCAATGGGATGTAATAATGATGCAATCAACCAATATTGGATCCAAACGCACAACTATAAGTTTCTGGCACACCACACAGACGCAAAAGTGAAAATCAATTTACAGCACCTTATATGACTGGGCCACCAGTGCCCAATTAATTAAGAAAATTGAGAAAAGTTACGAGGCCAACACTGTCGACTGACTTTCCCTTTCACCTGGAGGTAGAGTGATCGCTACAACTACTGGGTATTATACATCTCTCACACTTCCATCACTGACTAGATCCACTTCACTGTACCAGCACTCAACACAGGCATACTTGTCGCTATGGCAACAATTTCTTAATTTTTGACATTATTCATAATTTTGTTTTGTCAAGTTTCTGTAAGTGGTTGGTCATACTATCTGAGATATGGCTTACCCGATACAAGAACTTTGCTTAACAAGACATATTTGTTCAACTACATGAAGAGAAACCCTGTTTATCTGGACAGTATCAAGTGACATCAACCACATAAAAAATGTTCCAGGGTAATTGATATACAGAGGATATTTTATGTGTCTCGTAAGATATCATGTTCCTCTCATCTCGTAACGGGGTAAAGGAAATATTTCCAATCGTGGCTACACCACTCATGAAAACACCACTCATGAAAATATCTCCTTTTCCCCATCACTCGATGAGAGAAACATGATATTTCACTTGACACATGAAATATCCTCTATATATCAAATTCAAATATCAACTTAATAATTCATGCTACACTTTCAACAGTATAGACAAAAAAACAAACAGAAATCTACTGTCACTCCGTAAGTTTTCCGTAAGTTTATCCAAACTACACATGTGCACATAGATGTGGGCATCCATTCTGAAAACATAGCAGATAATAACCAGAGTTACCTGCCTTGACTCCAAATTACTTCCCAACCAATCAGCTGCATCTAACTTTGGCTTTGTCGTCATGTCCAGTAACACAAGGAAGGTAAATGTACTCATCAAACTATTGTACCAGTTGTACCTCCATTGCAATAGCATAGCAATAGTGTGTTTAACCCAGTAGTGTCCTCAATAGTGACCCCTTGTTCTAACAGGGTTTACTGTGAAGAACCAGACAACCGACTTCACCTGCATGTGTGTTTCATGTAGACAGGCCCTGTGTAGATACAGCTCCACCTACTAATAACACCAAGGGAGATAACTCATTCAGCCCATACTATCCAAGGGGAATAACTCTTAATATCTTTTCCCTGCTTGGTATTAATAGGCTTTGGCAGTGTAGCATGATGCAGAAGGGGAGACAACTGCTACAGGAAGGTCTCCCTGTCAGTGCCTCCTACACTGGTCTGCGACGTCTCCAGCTGTTTCTGCTGCAGCAGCCGGATCTGCAGCTTTACGCTCAGGCAGATCATCCGCTCCTCGTGGATCTTCTGACATAACTCGGCATTCTTTTTCTGGAATGGAAAGAGCCAAAGGTTCACGACAAGCTTTCTAATCACCTCAATTTGCTACAGATGGATTATTGAAATAATCACATTCAAATTTTTTGCATGTTCATATTGACATGCATGCATGTGCGTGTGTGGCTGCTTGTACCAGTTCAGACTTGTGCTGGTTTTAGAGTGCTAACCCACTGGGATACCATGCAGCAGTTCTATATGAATACCCCACTCAGACACAGTATACTGACTCTGAGCCGACCAGTCCTTGTTTTAGACCCTTAATGCCGAGTACCAGGCAGGGTAACAAATACCATCTTTTAACGTCTTATGGTATGACGCGGCAGAGGATCGAACCCCCTTCTGCTGCCGGGGCAGATACTCCATCACTAGACCACTGGGGCAGCCGATTTTGTGTGAAGAAGGGTGACAGAAATGTTTTGTCTGACTAATGGATTAAACAGATAAATCTTGAGATAAACCTGTTCTTCTTATGTATAATAGATCATTAGATGCCAAATATCATTGAATACATAACATGTTAAGTCCTACTTCAATGAGTGACTGACCTCGAGGTCTTCATTGTCGTGGATGAGCTGACAGAGACTGTCCTGCAGGTCGTCCTCATCCTCACTATCGTAGCTGCTCTCGGAGGAGGAGCTGAGGTCCTCGAGGTCGGAGTCTTGTCGGAGGTACTGTAACTCCTGGATCTCCTGGTGGAGGCGCTCGATCTCGCTCTGCTCGGTCTCGATCTTTTGTCTCAGCTCATCCCCTACACAGGGAAACAGTCATAATTATATAACACTATCGCCCATTCATCAATATACAATACAGTCAAAGAGTCGCCAAAATACAACACTGTCATCCACTCATCATGGAGACACCTCATTCTGCCTACAGCAAATTCTACCTAAAGTGGCACTCATTCTACCTAAAGTGGCACTCATTCTGCCTAAAGTGGCACTCATTCTGCCTACAGCTGATTCTACCTACACTAAAAAAAGCTGACCAACCTCTCAGTTAAATGAGACAGTCCATGTATCAACACACAACAGAAACAAATTATCAGGTGAGCAGCTTTCCTCTACCACTGACTAGAGCGAGCAGTTCCTCCTACCACTGACCTATAGAGAGCAGTTCCCCCTACCACTGACCTATAGAGAGCAGTTCCTCCTACCACTGACCTAGAGCGAGCAGTTCCCCCCACCACTGACCTATAGAGAGCAGTTCCCCTTACCACTGACCTATAGAGAGCAGTTCCCCCCACCACTGACCTTTAGAGAGCAGTTCCCCCCACCACTGACCTATAGAGAGCAGTTCCTCCTACCACTGACCTATATCGAGCAGTTCCCCCCACCACTGACCTATATCGAGCCGTTCCCCCAACCACTGATCTATAGCGAGCAGATCCTCCTACCACTGACCTATAGCAAGCAGTTCCCCCCACCACTGACCTATAGCAAGCAGTTCCCCCCACCACTGACCTATAGAGAGCAGTTCCTCCTACCACTGACCTATAGCAAGCAGTTCCTCCTACCACTGACCTGTAGAGCAGTTCCTCCTACCACTGACCTATAGAGAGCAGTTCCTCCTACCACTGACCTATAGCAAGCAGTTCCTCCTACCACTGACCTAGAGCAAGCAGTTCCTCCTACCCCTGACCTATAGAGAGCAGTTCCTCCTACCACTGACCTATAGAGAGCAGTTCCCCCTACCACTGACCTATAGAGAGCAGTTCCCCCTACCACTGACCTATAGCAAGCAGTTCCTCCTACCACTGACCTATAGAGAGCAGTTCCTCCTACCACTGACCTATAGAGAGCAGTTCCTCCTACCACTGACCTATAGAGAGCAGTTCCCCTACCACTGACCTATAGAGAGCAGTTCCTCCTACCACTGACCTATAGCAAGCAGTTCCTCCTACCACTGACCTATAGAGAGCAGTTACCCCTACCACTGACCTATAGCAAGCAGTTCCTCCTACCACTGACCTATAGAGTGCAGTTCCTCCTACCACTGACCTATAGCAAGCAGTTCCCCCTACCACTGATCTATAGAGAGCTGTTCCTCCTACCACTGACCTATAGCAAGCAGTTCCCCCCACCACTGACCTATAGCAAGCAGTTCCCCCCACCACTGACCTATAGAGAGCAGTTCCTCCTACCACTGACCTATAGCAAGCAGTTCCTCCTACCACTGACCTGTAGAGCAGTTCCTCCTACCACTGACCTATAGAGAGCAGTTCCTCCTACCACTGACCTATAGCAAGCAGTTCCTCCTACCACTGACCTAGAGCAAGCAGTTCCTCCTACCACTGACCTATAGAGAGCAGTTCCTCCTACCACTGACCTATAGAGAGCAGTTCCCCCTACCACTGACCTATAGAGAGCAGTTCCTCCTACCACTGACCTATAGCAAGCAGTTCCTCCTACCACTGACCTATAGAGAGCAGTTCCTCCTACCACTGACCTATAGAGAGCAGTTCCTCCTACCACTGACCTATAGAGAGCAGTTCCCCTACCACTGACCTATAGAGAGCAGTTCCTCCTACCACTGACCTATAGCAAGCAGTTCCTCCTACCACTGACCTATAGAGAGCAGTTACCCCTACCACTGACCTATAGCAAGCAGTTCCTCCTACCACTGACCTATAGAGAGCAGTTCCCCCCACCACTGACCTATATCGAGCAGTTCCCCCCACCACTGATCTATAGCGAGCAGATCCTCCTACCACTGACCTATAGAGAGCAGTTCCCCCTACAACTGACCTATAGAGAGCAGTTCCCCCCACCACTGACCTATAGAGAGCAGTTCCCCCCACCACTGATCTATAGCGAGCAGATCCTCCTACCACTGACCTGTTGAGAGCAGTTCCCCCTACAACTGACCTATAGAGAGCAGTTCCCCCCACCACTGATCTATAGCGAGCAGATCCTTCTACCACTGACCTATAGAGAGCAGTTCCCCCCACCACTGATCTATAGCGAGCAGTTCCTCCTACCACTGACCTATAGCGAGCAGATCCCCCTACCACTGACCTATAGAGAGCAGTTCCCCCTACCACTGACCTATAGCGAGCAGTTACCCCCACCACTGACCTATAGCAAGCAGTTCCTCCTACCACTGACCTATAGCAAGCAGTTCCCCCTACCACTGACCTATAGAGAGCTGTTCCTCCTACCACTGACCTATAGCAAGCAGTTCCTCCTACCACTGATCTATAGAGAGCTGTTCCTCCTACCACTGACCTATAGCAAGCAGTTCCCCCCACCACTGACCTATAGCAAGCAGTTCCCCCCACCACTGACCTATAGAGAGCAGTTCCTCCTACCACTGACCTATAGCAAGCAGTTCCTCCTACCACTGACCTATAGAGCAGTTCCTCCTACCACTGACCTATAGAGAGCAGTTCCTCCTACCACTGACCTATAGCAAGCAGTTCCTCCTACCACTGACCTAGAGCAAGCAGTTCCTCCTACCACTGACCTATAGAGAGCTGTTCCTCCTACCACTGACCTATAGAGAGCAGTTCCCCCTACCACTGACCTATAGAGAGCAGTTCCCCCTACCACTGACCTATAGCAAGCAGTTCCTCCTACCACTGACCTATAGCAAGCAGTTCCTCCTACCACTGATCTATAGAGAGCTGTTCCTCCTACCACTGACCTATAGCAAGCAGTTCCCCCCACCACTGACCTATAGCAAGCAGTTCCCCCCACCACTGACCTATAGAGAGCAGTTCCTCCTACCACTGACCTATAGCAAGCAGTTCCTCCTACCACTGACCTATAGAGCAGTTCCTCCTACCACTGACCTATAGAGAGCAGTTCCTCCTACCACTGACCTATAGCAAGCAGTTCCTCCTACCACTGACCTAGAGCAAGCAGTTCCTCCTACCACTGACCTATAGAGAGCTGTTCCTCCTACCACTGACCTATAGAGAGCAGTTCCCCCTACCACTGACCTATAGAGAGCAGTTCCCCCTACCACTGACCTATAGCAAGCAGTTCCTCCTACCACTGACCTATAGAGAGCAGTTCCTCCTACCACTGACCTATAGAGAGCAGTTCCTCCTACCACTGACCTATAGAGAGCAGTTCCCCTACCACTGACCTATAGAGAGCAGTTCCTCCTACCACTGACCAATAGCGAGCAGTTCCCCCTACCACTGACCTATAGCGAGCAGTTCCCCCTACCACTGACCTACAGAGAGCAGTTCCCCCCACCACTGACCTATAGAGAGCAGTTCCTCCTACCACTGACCTATAGAGAGCAGTTCCTCCTACAACTGACCTATAGCAAGCAGTTCCTCCTACCACTGACCTATAGAGAGCAGTTCCTCCTACCACTGACCTATAGCGAGCAGTTCCCCTACCACTTACCCATAGCGAGCAGTTCCCCTACCATTGACCTATATCAAGCAGTTCCCCCCACCACTGACCTATGGCAAGCAGTTCCTCCTCCTCCATCTTCATGGCCTCTTCCTCCTCGAGCAGACGCTGCATCTCCTCGTCATCGATGGGCTCCCACTCTACAACAGTCACAGCAAAGTGTGACAAGTAGACTCATACAGCTACTACAGAGTAACATTCCTGCTACATTGTTGTTTGACCCTGGTTCCACTCGGCAATATTTCAGCTGTATGATGGCAGCCTGTAAATAATCAAGTCTAGACCACGCAATCCAGTGAATGAGATTATGAGCATCGATCCACTCAATTGAGATACAATGACATGCAATCAACCAGGTCACAAAGCCTGACCACACGTTCCATTTTGTCGCCTCTTATGACAAGCATAGGTTGCGGGGGACCTATATTCTTGCCCAGAATCTCCATGGGAATATAACCCACCCTGTCAGGGGGACAATGACACAGAATCTCACACGTCACCGAGCCTGAGAAAAAGATCTGTTTTGTCACTACGTATAGCAACTTGGGACCTATTCTATCCCCACAAGGCAGGTGAAGATTCATAACTACTTTTCTTCCCTCCCTACTCACCCTGATCAACAACTTCCACCTCCGTCTCTGATAGGTCGGATTCCTCCTCCTCCTCTTCCATCACCCGTTCCTCCGCCTGCTCCGTGAACTTCACTTTCTTCTCCGTCTTCCCATCCCCGAGTAGCTCTTCCTCCAACTCCCTCAGCTCCACGGACTTCTTCAATGAGTCGTCCGCAGTCTCTTCCTTCTTTGGCGTTACTGGCTGTTCAGCCTTGATAGGCTTCAGTGGCTCACTAGACAAGTGAATATGTGGATGAAGGGACACCTTCTCAGTCTCTTTCACTTTCTTAGCCTTCGTTTCAACCTTCTCGACTTCATCTTTCTCCTCCTCCGCACCTCTGTCCTCACTTTTAAGCTCTTCCTCTGTCCCCTCTTTCGTTTCCTCGACTGTTTCCTCTGCTGTTTCTTCTGTTTCCTCCTCAGCAGACTTCACCACATCAGCTTCGACTGTTATTTTAGTACCTGCCTTCACTCCAGAATGCCTTTTGATCTTTTTCTCCTCCTTTTCAGCTTCTTTTTGAGCTTGAGCCTCTTTTTGAGATTCATCCTCATTCTCAGATTCAGCCTCCTTCTGAACTTGAGCCTCATTTTTAGATTTCTCTCCTTCTTTTGACTTTGGTTCATCTGGCTGTTCTTTCTCCTCGGTTTCCATAGTTTTTGTGGACGTTTTGGGTTCAGCTTTCTTGGGTCTGAGGTCAAGTTCCTCCTCTTCAGGGAGATGAGTGGACAGTTTCTTGCTCTCAATGTCTTTCCTTCTCTTTTCTGCAGCCTCAACAGCTTTCTTTGCGAATTTTATCTGAAAGAGAAAATGTTTGTTGACTTAAATATGTTGTTGTATGATCTTCATTAGGTACGCCCTTAGACAGACTGAAAAAACATGCAATAGTTTCTCAGGAAAAGGTTTGGTGCATGTCATCAACTTCTAATTGTATCTTATTTCTTTGTTTGTCATAAACCCTCAAACAATCATTGTTGTTTCAAATTTAAGGAGTATTCCAGGCATATAATCCCTGGGACGAATGGGCTTCTCACACTGTACCCATATGTAGAATCAAACTTACATCTTCAGCATGGTAAGTAAATGCTTGAACCAATAGCATGATCAAGCACCCCATCACCTCTGTAATAAATGGGGATCTGCTGATAAAGGCAAAAGTTATTTGGAATGCTAGTATTGCAGTCCTCTTGAGTTGTGTGACCACTCTCTGCATTCCAAATACACACTGTATAGAACACTCAAAGGGTTACTGGTGTGGGGACAACATGGAAAGCTGGTCCTACCTTCCTCTTGAGTTGTGTGACCACTCTCTGCACCTCCCACAGCTGTTCCTCCTTGTCCGAGTCAGTGACGCCAGCATTCAGCTCGCGGTGCAGCTCATTCAGCAGCGACTCCTGTTTGGCCAGCTCTTCTTCCAAGGCAGCTGGATTGTCTGGCAGCTCCAGCGACCAGCGGGACGTTGCCGGCTTCAGAGGGGGTACATATCTGTAAGAAACAAGTTAGTAGAGTTTTACATCACTTCAAGCAATATTCCTGCCACATGACGGTGGGGGACACCCATGTAGGGAATCTTTTATGACTATGGATAGGCTGCCCCATCGCCTCAAGTGATGAAGGTAATGCTGGTCACACTGAGCAAGGGTGAGTGAGTTGGCAGGGTCCATGCAGAATTTCACATTAATAAACTAGAGAGTCCGAAGGTTTTACACCATTTAAGCTATATACCAGCGTGAGGGTCACCAGAAATGGACTTCACACATTGTACCCATGTGGGAATTGAACCTGGGTCTTTGGCCTGACGAGCAAATGCTTTAACCACTAGACTACCCTACTGCCCCTTAACAGACAAGTTGCTGCTGGACACATTTACAGTTAGGGTGACAGACGGAAGTGTTTGTACAGAATTTTGGTCACAAAACTCAAGGCCTTTTCACGTTCTTTGCAAGGCTCATTCCCTAACATTGTAATCTTTTTCAAGGACCTGTCCAAGACTCACTCCTAAAAATTCAAGGCCATGCAAACTAAACATTTAGTTACACATAACTTCATTTCACTCTTGGCTTTCTGTTCAATTACTTATTGATTTTAAATTATAACTCCATTAACTGGAAGGGAGATAACTCTGGTTACTGACCATAAATAGTTCTCATACAGATTTAAAAGATTTCAAAGGTTATTTTTCAAACTATGATTTAAGGTAAGTTATTTCTTGAGATGGGGCAAGTTAAGAAAATTGAAGGCCTTTTCAACGTGTTCAAGGCACAACATCCAGTTTCAAGACAGATTCCAAATTCAACCTTGGACCTTTCAAGTCCGTGTGGCACTCTAGGTTCAACATTGCTTTGAACAGTATTTCAGTATATCAGGGCCTATCAGTTTCAAGTAGGATGGAAGTTTGGCACAAACATAACATTTCCAGGTGACCCACAAGCATAGATATGGGATCATTTATAACTTACTACAAGAGGATATTTTGGGGCCAAAGGATTTAACTCTGTGTAGGGATTTGCAGTGCCTCAAACAAATGGTCTGACTTTGCTCATTAAAAAGTTGTGTCTCTGTGTGATTTCCATTGTATTACTATAACAAAACAGTAATGTATTAGTATTACAGTAGCATCAGCAAACCTGCAGTTATCTGCGCCTATTTTAAGGAGGCACCAAGAAAGCATGTAACTTTAGAGAAACTGAGGGGTTAAATCTCAGAGATATAGGGCAAGTCATATTTTGCAGGGGCAACCAAACAATGTATGGATAGTGAATTGGAGCATGTACCTTTTGAGAAATTGTATGGGCAAATCTCAGAGATATAGGGCAAGTCATATTTTGCAGGGGCAACCAAACAATGTATGGATAGTGAATTGGAGCATGTACCTTTTGAGAAATTGTATGGGCAAATCTCGGACATATAGGGAAAGTCATATTTTGCAGGGGCAACCAAACAATGTATGGATAGTGAATTGGAGCATGTACCTTTTGAGAAATTGTATAGGCAAATCTCGGACATATAGGGAAAGTCATATTTTGCAGGGGCAACCAAACAATGTATGGATAGTGAATTGGAGCATGTACCTTTTGAGAAATTGTATGGGCAAATCTCGGACATATAGGGAAAGTCATATTTTGCAGGGGCAACCAAACAATGTATGGATAGTGAATTGGAGCATGTACCTTTTGAGAAATTGTATGGGCAAATCTCGGACATATAGGGAAAGTCATATTTTGCAGGGGCAACCAAACAATGTATGGATAGTGAATTGGAGCATGTACCTTTTGAGAAATTGTATGGGCAAATCTCGGACATATAGGGAAAGTCATATTTTGCAGGGGCAACCAAACAATGTATGGATAGTGAATTGGAGCATGTACCTTTTGAGAAATTGTATGGGCAAATCTCGGACATATAGGGAAAGTCATATTTTGCAGGGGCAACCAAACAATGTATGGATAGTGAATTGGAGCATGTACCTTTTGAGAAATTGTATGGGCAAATCTCGGACATATAGGGCAAGTCATATTTTGCAGGGGCAACCAAACAATGTATGGATAGTGAATTGGAGCATGTACCTTTTGAGAAATTGTATGGGCAAATCTCGGACATATAGGGAAAGTCATATTTTGCAGGGGCAACCAAACAATGTATGGATAGTGAATTGGAGCATGTACCTTTTGAGAAATGGTGTGAGCAAATCTCAGCATTCGCACAAAATGTCATATTACCATGGAACCAAGATACAATCTGCTACAGTTACTGCCTGGCTAGGGAGTGACGTACCTCTTGACGATGGTGTCAGCAAACAGCTGTCCGGCATATGTGAAGAGGATGTTGAGGACGCGGTGACTGATCTGCATGGTTGGACTCAGCACGATCGACACGTTCTGGAGCGTCATCTTGTTCTGCTTTTGCTGCAAATATCAGAGTGAGTGAGTGAGTGAGTGAGTGAGTGAGTGAGTGAGTGAGTGAGTGAGTGAGTGAGTGAGTGAGTGAGTGAGTGAGTGAGTGAGTGAGTGAGTGAGTGAGTGAGTGAGTGTAAAACATAGCATCACAAGCTGAATGAAGGTGACTAGTAGTCTGACTGATGACACATTCCTGACCTGCAGTCATGGGACATACAATTTTATCTCTGCTGACGTTCATTTAATTTGAGTGTAGCAATAATATTTTCATAGTTTCAATTCGCTAAGAATATTTACCAAGTATTATTGGTGCATAGCTTTCATCTTCCCAAGGCAAGGGAATAAACTGACTATAAAAGTCAAGTTTCCACCCTTGCCGAACTAGGATGAAATTTCTGGGTTTGATCGTGGTGCCACCAGTGGCGATTATGAGTTATGTCCCTTCTATGACCTGTTAGTCCAGCCAAAATATGACTCAATAATTCCAGCCATGTTCGGCAAGGGTGGTAACTGGACTTTTACAGTCAGTTAACGCCCTTGCTTCGGGAAGATGAAAGCTTTTGACTGATGGAACATGTGAAAACAGCAATGCCAATATTGTATCAGAACAAAGAAGGAAAAACACATTTGCATGTCATGGAATATTTTGGGCATGCTTAAATAATTCAATTTAGTCTTTGCAAGAGGTATAATTGAAAATTATTTTGTTTGAGTAAAATAGTTTTACTGCTTACATGCCATCTCATATAAATTATTGTTCTCATAATTATCTTATGACAAAATTATTTTTGCTACACAGTACATGACTATTTATGTCAGAGGTCTTGACTTTCAATGCTATGTGTCAACCCACCAGCTCAATAATGTGTCGTGTGTACAATGTGTGTGACTCACCAACTCAATGATGTGTCATGTGTACAATGTGTGTGACTCACCAGCTCAATAATGTGTCGTGTGTGAAATGTGTGTGACTCACCAACTCAATAATGTGTCGTGTGTACAATGTGTGTGACCCACCAGCTCAATAATGTGTCGTGTGTACAATGTGTGTGACTCACCAACTCAATGATGTGTCGTGTGTACAATGTGTGTGACTCACCAGCTCAATGATGTGTCGTGTGTACAATGTGTGTGACTCACCAACTCAATTATGTGTCGTGTGTACAATGTGTGTGACTCACCAACTCAATGATGTGTCGTGTGTACAATGTGTGTGACCCACCAGCTCAATAATGTGTCGTGTGTACAATGTGTGTGACTCACCAGCTCAATGATGTGTCGTGTGTACAATGTGTGTGACTCACCAGCTAAATGATGTGTGTCATGTGTACAATGTGTGTGACTCACCAGCTAAATGATGTGTGTCATGTGTACAATGTGTGTGACTCACCAGCTAAATGACGTGTGTCATGTGTACAATGTGTGTGACTCACCAACTCAATGATGTGTCGTGTGTACAATGTGTGTGACTCACCAGCTCAATAATGTGTCGTGTGTACAATGTGTGTGACCCACCAGCTCAATAATGTGTCGTGTGTACAATGTGTGTGACTCACCAACTCAATGATGTGTCGTGTGTACAATGTGTGTGACTCACCAACTCAATTATGTGTCGTGTGTACAATGTGTGTGACTCACCAACTCAATGATGTGTCGTGTGTACAATGTGTGTGACCCACCAGCTCAATAATGTGTCGTGTGTACAATGTGTGTGACTCACCAGCTCAATGATGTGTCGTGTGTACAATGTGTGTGACCCACCAGCTCAATAATGTGTCGTGTGTACAATGTGTGTGACCCACCAGCTTAATAATGTGTCGTGTGTACAATGTGTGTGAACCATCAGCTCAATAATGTGTCGTGTGTACAATGTGTGTGACTCACCAGCTCAATAATGTGTCGTGTGTACAATGTGTGTGACTCACCAACTCAATAATGTGTCGTGTGTCATGTGTACAATGTGTGTGACTCACCAGCTCAATAATGTGTCGTGTGTACAATGTGTGTGACCCACCAACTCAATGATGTGTCGTGTGTACAATGTGTGTGACTCACCAGCTCAATGATGTGTGTCATGTGTACAATGTGTGTGACTCACCAGCTCAATGATGTGTGTCATCTGTACAATGTGTGTGACTCACCAGCTCAATGATGTGTGTCATCTGTACAATGTGTGTGACTCACCAGCTCAATGATGTGTGTCGTGTGTACAATGTGTGTGACTCACCAGCTCAATGATGTGTGTCGTGTGTACAATGTGTGTGACTCACCAGCTCAATGACGTGTGTCATCTGTACAATGTGTGTGACTCACCAGCTCAATGATGTGTGTCATGTGTACAATGTGTGTGACTCACCAGCTCAATGATGTGTGTCATGTGTACAATGTGTGACTCACCAGCTCAATGATGTGTGTTGTGTGTACAATGTGTGTGACTCACCAGCTCAATGATGTGTGTCGTGTGTACAATGTGTGTGACTCACCAGCTCAATGATGTGTGTCATGTGTACAATGTGTGTGACTCACCAGCTCAATGATGTGTGTCATGTGTACAATGTGTGTGACTCACCAGCGCAATGATGTGTGTCGTGTGTACAATGTGTGTGACTCACCAGCTCAATGATGTGTGTCATGTGTACAATGTGTGTGACTCACCAGCGCAATGATGTGTGTCGTGTGTACAATGTGTGTGACTCACCAGCTCAATGATGTGTGTCATTTGTACAATGTGTGTGACTCACCAGCTCAATGATGTGTGTCGTGTGTACAATGTGTGTGACTCACCAGCTCAATGATGTGTGTCATGTGTACAATCATCCAGGACAGCAAGAGTCGGTTACAAATAGGCAGCTCCTCTATCAACTTCTTGAACTGCTCGATACGCCGCTTCTCATTCTTGATGGCTACAATGTAAAAGCTATTTTGGTAGAGCAGTATTTAAATTATACCACTGTGTTTTATCTTGATGTGAGAGGAGAGCACAAAGTGATGCAGATATTAGACATATGCCACTTTGGCGAAATCATTGAGCATGGGTTTGCTGCTGACAAACCTAACAACTAAAGAACAAGCACATTACTTGCTCTCAGGCCCTTCCATATCAGTTAAAGAAAAGCCACCCCAAACTAAAACATTATAGTTCCCCCTATGGGTGGAAAATTAACAACAAAGTAACTTGTTATAATCAAAATAGGCTCCACAAAAAATTTAAAAAGACATTGCCTGGGAACACATTTTACCGGATACCTTTGGCCATATTGCTATTGGATGTGTGCATGTATGTTCCTTCAATAAAAATGCTTTCAAAGTCTTTGAAACACCTTTGTAATAAATTCTGTAGTAAGAAATGTCACTTTAAGTATGTTTGTCTGTTTGATTGTTGTTTCCTCAGAAAATACACATATCAAAATTAAACTTTGCACATTGCACCTCTTCTATTAATTAGTATGGAAACTGTTCCCTAAATAATAAAAAGAATCTAGTTTTCAAGTAGTTTTCAAGTTATAGGTCACACAAATGTCAAAGTAAAAATATTCAGAGTCAAAAACTGAGAAACAAGCTGTATGTTTTCAGAAAACCCAAATATTGAAACCAAACCTCACACCACACCTCTCCTGTATGTATAAAAAGTGTTCACCTAGTCTGAAAAGTATCTATGTTGTAGTTTTCAAGTTATAGGTCACCCCAAAAAATGTCATTGGAAGGACGGAAGGAAGGAATTCCTTGGTATAACTATATACTCTTTTAGGTTGGGGGTATAATAAGAACAAATAAAAATCCTAAGTTTAAACAAAATAACAATTGTTTCCCAATGGCACGATGGCAATGGCTTGCAAAAGAAACTGACTGGTAGTTTGGAATCTCAGATCAATCACTATAAGTGTACTTTAAATACTTACTTGAAGCTTCTTCAAACTTGGGCATGCTGGCGGTAGTTAGGACGGGTTCTGGGAGGTCACGGAGGAACTGCTTGAGGAGGCTGGCCACCACGTTGGGCTCATGCTCCTGGAGGTACGCCGGCACCCCCTTGTTGTAGCAGTCCTTCAGGTGCTGCACCTTCGACTTGACGCCAGAGATCCGGTAGATGCCCTCACACGACAGACCTGCACAGCAGAGTGAGTGAGTGAGTGAGTGAGTGAGTGAGTGAGTGAGTGAGTGAGTGAGTGAGTGAGTGAGTGAGTGAGTGGGCGGGTGGGTGAGTGAGTGAGTGAGTGAGTGAGGTTTAATGCCACGTTGAACAGTATTTCAGTAATATCATGGCATGTCAGCTTCATGTGGGAGGAAGGCCCTAAATGCTGCAGGTTTTAGTTGTTTATCATTTTGTTCAAACCCACAAGCATGGGAATAGTGCTGCCTTACCTAGAGTTAGTGAGTGAGTTGGTCTTTTGGGTTAAAGACTTGTAACTACCTGTAAACGGGAACACTGCCGACGATCTAGTCCCCTAAACCTCCGTGAGGAGGTGGAGAGATCAACCATGAGGAAAGAGACAGTACAATATCCACCTCTACGGAAAGTCTTAGTCGATGACGAGACAGGGGATATTATAGCTGATAACATAGTTTGTTTAGGTTTCTTAGCCGATGATGGGCCATTTCTTTAGATATAGACTTAGAATGGTGATCAGTAGTCCGTTTCTGACATTTACGAGTGTAAAGTCGAAAGTGTGACTCAGAGAGGTTGATGCACTGTTTACAATAGTCTTTGTTTGTGCATTGGCCACGACAATCGCAACATAAGGGCTGAGGTTTCTGACTTCTGACAAGTAGGATAATAGTGTACTGTCCAAAGTAACCTTCTCGTTTGATGTTTATTGAGACAGACTAAACAAAACTAAATATAATTCTCTTCAAATCAAACACGTCTTCAAACCAAGCAGATGAAGAAGAGAATGAGTATGCTGGGAACGTTATGTGATCAAGTCGCATAGGATCCAGTTGCAGCACAACCCATAGTTTATGGGAGTGGCCATGGGGACAACTGGGATGTGTTTTGGTGAGGTGTTTTTTTGAAGCAGGAAACTTGTTTATGGATCGTTTCCACACCAGGATCAAAGAAGAAGGATGAAACGCATACTGTGAGATAGGATAAGTTTAAAAATAGAAGATTTTCCAAGTTATAGGTGAATAAATATTGCTCAAACTTGGGGGGTAAGTTATTTTGTCAAAGAATACAACACACATCCTCACAAGCACTTGTCACTCACCATGTTCCTCTATATAGTCAACACATTCCCGGAATATTGCCGGGAGTTCTATTCCATCATGTGACTTGTTCCTTTCCACGGACAGCGCCAAAGGTACGCCAAATATTGGCTTGTCATATTCACCTGAAATGATCAACATTGTCAATCAGGGATTAACCTACCAAATCTATAAGTGAGCAATACTTTTTGCTGGTTCAAGGCATGAAACTGGGAGTGCCAGGCTAACCTCTGTGACCTACTTCAGGTTTAGTGGGCAACATATGAGACATTTAATAATGCCCTACATCACAGTCAGCAATATTACAGCTATATCATGTCAGCCTGAAAATAATCAAGTCTTGGCAAGAAAAACCAGTGGTTGATATTATAAGCAATATCTCACACCATCCTAGGGAAACACTGACCTACATGGATCTCCACTAGGGAAATACTGACAGACCCACATGGATCTCCCCTAGGCAAATACTGACCTACATGGATCTCCCCAAGCGAAATATGATCTACATAGAACCTCCCTAGGGAAATATTGACCTACATGGATCTCCCCTAGGGAAATACTGACCTACATGGATCTCCCCTAGGGAAATACTGACAGACACACATGGATCTCCCCTAGGGAAATACTGATCTACATGGATCTCCCCAAGCGAAATACGATCTACATAGAACCCCCCTAGGGAAATATTGACCAACATGGATCTCCCCTAGGGAAATACTGACAGACCCACATGGATCTCCCCTAGGGAAATAATGACGTACATGGATCTCCCCTAGGGAAATACTGACCTACATAGATCTGCCCTAGGGAAATACTGACCTACAGTCAAGTCTCGTTAATCCGACACTCGGCTTTATCCGACGCAAATGATGGGAACCGATTGATTCAGTGCTATTTAGTCCCGTTAATCTGACATTCTCGCACTCCGACTCCGACACACCTAATTTGCAACGAATTACCGAAATCACTCATTAGTCAGTCTCGTTAATCCGACACAGTGGTCAGCGTACTCCGTGGTCATCTGCCCGCGAGTACACAACCCTGTGTTTTGGCACGCACTGGCTGCAGAGATTAACTTAACAATTAACAGGAAAAGCTATTCAAACCTGTATGTACAAAACTATACAAATGTAGTTTACAAATTGAAGCCAGATTAATGTGCATGAAGCCAGTTTAAAATACGAACAGGTATATAAAACATGGTCGACTCACCATGGTCGACTGGTATGTAAACAAGAAAGCATGGATGACTTCATTAATATTCAAAGCCTGGCTACTGATCGTGGATCGGCAAATGCGATTGGAGCAATGCCACGTGGTATTGCTGTTGGACAACGCCCCATCCAATGCTACTGTCGACATAACTAATGTGAAATGTCACTTTTTGCCACCAAAAAATTGTGATAAATTCAGTGAGTAATGTGTCTATTGTTATGTATAAATGGGAAAATTATTATTATTTTTGCACTGTCATTAATTATAAATTAAGGAATGAATGAATAAACAACATAACAATATATATATTTTGTTTTTAATGATTTTATTACAAGGTACACACGGTTATTATCTATCGTGAAGACGTCCGATTTTCGATCACAAATCAATTAATTTCGTTAATCCGACATACTCGTTAATCCGACACAATCATGTGCAACCAACGATGTCGGATTAACGTGACTTGACTGTATATAGATCTCCCCTAGGTAAATACTGACCTACATAGATCTCCCCTATGGATATACGGACCTACATGGATCGTCGCAAGGGAAATACAGATCTACATGGATCGCCCCATGGGAAATATGGACCTACATCAGTCTCCCCTGGGGAAATACAGATCTACATGGATCGCCCCATGGGAAATACGAACCTACATGGGTCTCCCCTGGGGAAATACAGATGTACATGGATCGCCCCTAAGGAAATATTGACCTACATGGGTCTCCCCTGGGGAAATACAGATCTACATGGATCTCCCCGAGGGAAATACAGATCTACATGGATCGCCCCAAGGGAAATACGGACCTACATGGATCGCCCCCACGGAAATACAGACAATTCAACTCACTCTGGACTGCGACAGCCGGGACCTCATGGAGTGCATGTTTGGGTTTCTTTTTCTCCTTCTTGTGTTTCTTTTCTTCTTTCACTTCCTTCTTCTTTTCTTCCTTCTTTGTTTCCTTCTCCTTCTTTTCTTCCTGAAACAATGAAACAATCTCAGTTTTTATGTGCACACTTGGAAACTGTTATTGTCTTAATTATTTAAGGAAAATATTTCCTGGATGTAGATGGTCGGAGATTTAAAGTTAACTGTTTTGTGACCTCCAGATAGAGGCTACAGACACAGAACCTGGTTTGCTAAGTCTACACACCCAAACATATATTTTGGCATCCTCATGTAATTAGATGTTAATAGTAGTAACACATGCAGTATTATTTGTCAAGATTACTACATAGAAAGACAGTTTACTACACTTAGGCTTGAAACTAGAGGCAAAGGTGGCAGACTGGTGTGAGTTCTTGAATTTGTAAGGCCAAAATATAAAAACTGTGTTTCCAGTTTCCAGACCAACCCTAATCTGCAACCCCAACCCTCAACCTTTTTCTCTCTTGGTGCACTATGGCATGTATCAGCATCCTGGTATTGTCTGTAGTTGTGTCACTTGCATAAATGTGTATGCCTAACTACAGACAATAGACAAACCAGTCATATCTTCAACAACAGCCATTTGAAAGCAAGCTTTTACAGACATAAAGCAAATATAAAAAAGCAAAATTCAATGAAAAAAACCTTTAAAAACCCTATGAATTCACAATGCCATTTAGAAAGTGGTCAAATGTAACAAATGCTATATTTGGGATAACACTTTCTTAGTAAAGTACAGATTCTCGTATGTTTTGGGTTGTGTGCTGGCGATTAGGTGCCCTACACTGGCAGTGTGGGTTCGAATCCTGGATAGGACTCAACCCAAAAGTAGGAGAATCTGAACTTTACTAAGAAAGTGTTATCCCAAATATAACATTTGTTACTTAAAAAACCCACCCAAAATTGACATACCAACTAATTCTTAATGGGCTGGAATAGGAAACCCATATCGGTTTTTTGTCCCTCAGACTTAAAGTATTTAGGACATTATTACTTGTTGAATCAGAAATCCATAGACCTGATTGTCCCAAATAATGGGAACTAACAGGATCATTGACATGCCCATTGGGATGCTCAATCTCATTAAAATAAGTTCTTTTGCTCCTGTACAATGTCTCTCTGCATCAAGATGTGACGACACATAAAAGTAAAAGATCTGATTTTAATGAGATAGACACTCAATTTGACATTTATATTTCACCAAATTGTTCTGTCAGAGTTCTGTCCCTTGTCCTTGATGTTCAGATTTGGCTGCAATTGATTCCCTCAGTCTTCTGAGAAAAGTCGTGACACTTTGCTGGGAATTGGCTACAACATACCACCCCTGGACACCTCCTTTGGATCTGCCTATGCAAAGCAATGGAATGTCACCGACAACAAATCTACCTTTTCTTTCTTGGGGAAAATGTCCTTCCTGGCTGGGAACTTGAAGCCTGGTTTGCTTTTCTTCACCTTGGTTGGACTCCTGGAACATGAGACACACAATCCCCTCACATGTAGATAACATAACCATAGGTTGTGGTTGTTTGTTTGTTTGTTTGTTTGTTTGTTTGTTGATTAACGCCAGTATCATGAGCCTCAATCCACGCAATTGGGATATGATGACATGCATCAAACCAAGTCAGTGAGCCTGACCATCCATCCCGTCAATCGACAAGCATGGGTTGCTGAAACCTATTTTAACCTGGATCCTCATGGTGGAAGTAGGCTGTGTATTGTGCATTATGATTTTCATAGCATGTGTGCACAGTTTCACAAGCTGAATGTTTTTCATCATAAACTGTTGCCATTTTTAGAAGTTGGTAAGTAAACAGTTAAGGCAAGATATTTTACAGATGACAACTTGTTTATTCTGTAATGATGTGACGTCTGGTATAGATCCTTATGCTGTTAGTTGTCAAGGAAGAATGCTTGACAAGGGTATAAGGACCTAACCAAAACGTTGCATCATAATAAAATAAACAAGTTGTCATCCACAAAATATCTTGCCTTGACTGTTTTCATTATAATTTGGCAGTTCATGAAGTGTAACCCTATTTTTCAGTGTTTTAAATACCCATCTGCCCAACTGTCTGAGGTGGTCTATTTTACTGAGGGACGGTCAGTATTGATGGTTGGGAGTAAAGCTACTAATTTGACAATCCACCAGTTTATTGTTACTTTCTGAGAACTAACATTCAACGTTACTTTTGTTGGTTAGTCTAGAAAATTCTGGACTGGCAACATTTTATCTGGTCTGGTAACTTTGCAAAGTTGCAAGTCTGGTTGTTTGACTGTAATTTTGGAGAATCTCATACACTGCTTTTTTGCACTCTAGCTCAAAAACTAGACGCCCATATTGTCTAGAATTTTGAACAGACACAGTTTACAACTTTCCCAAGAAATATGAAATCTTGTCTGTAGTTTACAAAGAGTTGGCTATGATTAACAAACAATCACTAACGCTGTCAGCAGGGCGGATGGTCAAGTAAGAGAACAGTGGTCAGGTCATGGTCAGAGGATGGTTTGGTCACATTACATCATGTACATGGTCTGTGACGTCACTTGATTGTTTGGTCTATGATGTCGCTTGAAGTACAGCAATCGCCAAACAAGTTCTTCACAGAAGTAAATCTTTCACTATATAATATATTCAAAGCCTAGGTGAAACCCTGGTACACTACCCAGACATAACCTCACAAGAGGTGTAACGGGTACGATATGTATCTCGATACTATGGGTGTGATACAATTTGTATCCCGATACAGTACTTTCATTTCATATATTGATATTCTTTCTCTTGGTGAATCACAACCCTGAATCATATGTTTTTAAATTTCAGAGATCAAAGATGGGATATTGTAGGGCAGAGAAATATGAGATGTAAATCAATGTATTGTATCATGGGCCTCCTATCATGATACAATACTGTATCTCTGTATCGTTACACCACTAAATCTCACCCACTCTTTTTCCACTGACAGCCTACACAATCTACCCCTTCCCAGATATAACAGACAATCCACCCTTCTATCTTCAGATAGACTGAAAAAAACAGGATCCAACCCTCAACAGACTACCCACTTGACATCGACAAGGGACACCATGTCCTCCCCAGCAGACTACAGGATCCACCCCTCAACAGACTACCCACTTGACATCGTCAAGGGACACCATGTCCTCCCCAGCAGACTACAGGATCCACCCCTCAACAGACTACCCACTTGACTTCGTCAAGGGACACCATGTCCTCCCCAGCAGACTACAGGATCCACCCCTCAACAGACTACCCACTTGACATCGTCAAGGGACACCATGTCCTCCCCAGCAGACTACAGGATCCACCCCTCAACAGACTACCCACTTGACATCGACAAGGGACATCATGTCCTCCCCAGCAGACTACAGGATCCACCCCTCAACAGACTACCCACTTGACATCGTCAAGGGACACCATGTCCTCCCCAGCAGACTACAGGATCCACCCCTCAACAGACTACCCACTTGACATCGTCCAGGGACACCATGTCCTCCTCAGAGTCTTCCTCCTCAAACATCATGTAGCCCTTCTCCTTCTTGTCCTTCTTGCCATCCTTCTTCTTCCCCAGGTCCTTCTTCCTGCTGGCACGGTCATGGTCCTCCTCTGGCACTACACACAACAGAGTTCAAATATCAGATTCTGATCTATACAACACTTCTGATGATAAGTATTTTCATTCCTGGTGATAAATATTTTCATTCCCTTGACAAAACTTTGAGATTTGATTATTAGTCTTGCTACTAAGCTAGGACACCAACAGGAATCCTTTCTCAACATAAACTAGAACTATCAGAAAAGTTGACTGATAGTTTTACCTGTGATTGAAGTTAAACTCGTTATATGAATAACATGATTAAATTCTACAAGCTTGAGCATGACTAGACAAACAGTCAAGACAATATCAGGTTGATCATTGTTGAATACAATGTTTCTAATTGGTTCAGTTTCTAGGGGATTAACTGTACTAACCAAAATGTCCTAAAGATTTGTTTCAAATTTCATAATGATATAGAGGAATATCCTATCAAGTTGCTAAAATCATGAAATGTCCAAACGCAAAATACTTATTCCATAGGGAGAAAATATTTTGCCCCAAAGAGACAAATAAAATTAAGTTGAACTACCGGTAATATGAATAAAAATTGATGGGACTGGCTAACTGGCTCCAGATAGAGAATTGGGCCTACTTGTACATATCAGCGTATGATTAACATGGCTATTGTAATGCCTATCCTTTACCAGTATGCACGCAAATTTTCATTCTCAGCTCCATGTGGAGTATACAATCCTCCAACCCTTGCTGGTGAGGACAATTCATCTAGATCATATATAAATCAGTCCCCACTGTATTCTATGGCCCAAAAAATTAAATTCTGCAGTAATTATTGTAAATTCTGCAACCAAATTTTAATAAGTCTTGTGGCATGCACTTTCAGAAAGCAATAATACAAAAGTCAAATTTACTTTAATACGAAATAAATATCCGATTACAGGTTAAAACCGGCTTCGACTAACAAGTTGAAATTCCGCAGTGTATTTGACGAATTATGCAGCAGATAAATGCAAAATTCGACACGTGCTCTGCACAAAATGCTATTTTCTGTAAGGTAAAAATATTTCTGCACCGAGTAGGCATTTCTGCAAAATAACTGTGACCACAGAATCTCGGAATACAGCGGGGGCTGATAGGCTTAAGATAGCAGTTCATAATTACCGAACATACAGACAATGTCTCAGTCTGACACACGTCACTAAGTAAAACATTCAGACCAACCCGAAAATGGGCACCTAATCATGGAGCATAGTAGCCCTTTAAATCATGGAACATTATATATGTGATTAGCTGACCTCACAAGATGGAAAGAAACTTAAAACACTTGGGTTTCAGCTGAGAGAAGAATTTCGCAAACACTTTAATTGTTCATATATTATTCTTATAAGGTCATTGAGGCTAAACAATTTCTTAATCCTAATCAAACAGATTTTGTACCTTTGAAATTTATAATAGAATCAGATAAAAATGATCAGGGATTTATCTAGGCCTTCTCAGAGGATGATATTTGGCCCAAATCGGAAGCAAATATTGGTAACACTTCCCCATTGAATAAAAAGTGCCAATTCAGATTATCAGACCTTTTAACTCAAAACCTCGAAGCTTTGCCCATAACATTCAGTTTGTCATCATTGCATTGAATGTAATAGCCATCTATGTGCAGTGTTCGAAATTCAGCGGGGTCCTGGGGTCTTTGAGTGAGTGAATGATGAAGAGAGGTTTAATGCCGCTTTGAACAGTATCCCAGCTTAATGTGGATGGAAAGACCGAAGTGATGCAGGTTCCAGATGCTTACAGTTTGGTGAAACCCACAATCACGGGTATAATGCTGACATATCTAGAAACAAACTTGGGCAAACCTGGAATCAAACCCAGGATCAGGTTTCAGTCATGCCAAAGGGACGTAACTCTGCATAGCGAATTGCGGCCCCTTAGACTTCTGGCCCACCCATGCCCCCGGGGGTCCTTGGGGTTTGCTGCAGTAGCACATGAATTTAGGGACCCCTAAATCTTAAGATTCTAACATTAGGGTTATGACTAATTATCATACCTCCATGTCAGAATCATGAGATCTGATTGGTTCATGTGATCTTGATAAAATAGTATATATCCTGCCTTGGAGGGAAATAAATTTCTCAGTGGGAGAATAAATCCCTTATACCCCACCATAAAGATAACAGGCTGCACATGGATTTCTCAGCCAGAGAATAAATCCTTTATACCCCTTCATGGAGAAAACTGGTTGCACATGGATTTTTTAGCGGAGAAGAAATCCCTTATACCCCACAGTGGAGAAAACATGCTGCACATGGATTTCTTAGCGGAGAAGAAATCCCTTATTCCCAACTTTGCTTTTTCTGAGTCAGTGATAGTCACGTGACATAGCACAAGTTAAACTCAGCTCAATCAAACATATGTTTTCTATCAATTTTGAAGAATTTGTTTTAATTCTTTTACAATGTCATATCCAAACACGGGATTTAGATCAATTGTAGTCACATGGACGCATAAAACCCCATGTACCATTAAAGATCCCACTACAGCATATATTGACTTGCATGTTTAGTTTTGAATGCTGATGTAAGAACATAAGAATATTACAAAATTCAATTTCGATATTTTTTCCCCATATTTGTTCACCATGGGTGCTTAGTTTAAAATCCTAGATAAATCCCAGATAACGATGAGGATGAAATGTAAGATTTACTACAACAGTCACCAACATCACCAAAATGACAGAAACTGAAACAGTAGGCACCAACACTGTATGACAAATGAGTCACAATATCCCATGCACATGCACATGAAAGGACATTACATTACTGAGAAATTGTGGATCAGGAAGTCTGTTTGTTTGAATCATATGAGGGTCTCATTGAATATGATACCACTTATTATACAAAGCCCAACTTGTGTTTCTGGTAACCATGGCACAATGTCCCTAACATACCGTCTTTATTCAATTATAGAGTTTTCATATTCCTTAGCCATTTGAGATTCTAACAACATAAATTTAAATACAAAATGTAACATATGAGCGCTGCAGTTAGTAGATGAAGTGATTCTACTTAATGTAAGATTTTAAAAACATTTTCCCCTCCATTCAAGATTACAAAAACAATTCAAAATAAAATAAATACAATTACCATAAATATATATAACTATTTCTGTCTTTCTTGAGGTCAGTTTACATGTCTTTGACAACACAAAGGGTACAAAATGTGTAAAAACAAGCCTGGAATAATCCATCTGAATTTCAACACACAAAACAGCCCCCTGACTGTTAACATGGTTGCTGAAAACCTTTTTTCCATGTTTTAAAGATTCCCCAGTAGCCCAAAACATATTTAAAAAGTGATTTTTTTTATCGTAAAGGACTTGTTTCTTATATTGGTGAATACACACGATGCAAAGCAGACTTACGTGTTCACTATAAATAAACTGTGTAACAAGTTGTTGAACTACCAGTCAGTATGAGTGAGGATGGTTTTATGCCGCTTTTAGCAATATTCCAGCAATATCACGGCGGGGGACACCAGAAATGGGCTTCACACATTGTACCCATGTTGGGAATCGAACCCGGGCCTTCAGTGTGATGAGCGAACACTTTAACTACAAGGCTATCCAACCGCCACTAAAAGTGACAAAATGAAAAGATAGCTTAACTAACACTGCACATATTACAACATACTCAGGTTATTCTTTGAAAAAATCAAAACAAATATATTGTCAGTATCATTAAAGTCAGATCTTAGTTGAGGACGTCCCATTACGGGTCACGTCAGAACAACCTTTCGGGAACTCAGACCGACCAATGAAATGACTAACAAGAGGTCAACATTAGCCAATCAGAAAGCAGCTTTCTTATGTTTTACGGCACTACAGTAGTTTCAAACATTGTGACTTCCATTCAACATTCTAGAATGTCTAATACACGTCCAAAGTTGTATGGCAGTACTTCCCACTGGCTATGATCTCTTGATCTCTAATTGGTCAGATGAAAGGTCGTTCTGACGTGACACGTAATGGGATGTCCTCAGATCTTTGTTTTGTGGTATCTATTTTACTTATTTCCTCACCCAGCAATCAGGATCTTTTTATCAAAAAGAAACAAGAACAAAATGTTCTGGCCCTATGACTGTCTTTATTTGTCCATTTAACTATTAACAGGTTTCCAAATGGCTTTTGTATTGTCATCATGACAGTGCTTGAAATTGATTTCTCTGATAACATTATAGATTATCCCTGATTTCATGATATACTTACTTTCATGACAGATTTCTACAATTTCATGATAGATTACTACAATTCATGATTCTAGATTACTACCATTTCATGACAGATTTCTACAATTTCATGATAGATTACTACAATTTCATGACATGTCTGCAATTTCATGACAGATGTCTGCAATTTCATTACATATTTCTGATTTCAAAATATATTTAATTTCATAACAGATTTCTTTGATTTCATGATATATTTCTCTGATTTCATGACATATTCCTCGGATTTCTTTGTATATATCCCTGATTTAGTTGGCATCTATGGGTAAAAAGAACAATAAACAAAACATGTGCAACAGAGGTCACCATGACATCAAACGGTAATAACACAAGTCCGCATGCACCGAGGGAGGCGACAGCAAGCCTGTGGTATACCTGACGTCTGGTCGCTAAGCGACCCTGCTTTATACAGACCAGGGAAGTTCTTTTCATTGTCGGGACTCTCAAAACTCATCTTGGTAGATGACAGCGTTGATCATCTACAGCAAAGACATGTCTGGTGCTGAAAAAACACAATACAGTCAGAGTAATAAAATTGTAAATTTTACAATAAATTGCATATTTATATACTTATCCTATCTCACACTATGCATTTCTCATTCTTCTTTTGATCCTAAGTGGAAACCTGCCTAAACAAAGGTTTCCAGCTTCTAAAAATGCAATCCACCTGAACACACGTAGCATTACTATGGTCACCTCCGAACCTTCTGGGCAGTGCATGCTTTTCATGCCAGTCAACCTACACGCACTGAACACATGGTTTCTCCAGCCAGCTCATTCTCTTCCTTATCGCCATGCTGTGGAGACGTGTATGATATTAGAGAATACAGGTCCCTCCACTATCGTGTCTAATTGACATTAGTAATTGAGGGAAAATAGCAACCCAACACCAAAGTTTAAGCACAGTTACACTTAGGATCGAAAGAAGAATGAAAAATGCAAAGTGTGAGATAGGATAAGTTTAAAAAACATTCATGACTTAATGGCTGAAATTGGCAACTTGGAAGTCTAGTGATGTATTACTTTGATTTACTCACAAGCATGGGCCCCATTGGGAATCTGGGTTAGAACAGGTCCCCCGCGCATGTCATACTCTGACAGTGTATTGCTCATGATATTAATCACTGGTTTGTCTGGCCCAGATTTTTTCAGGGCCAGTGCCATATACATGTAGCTGGAATATTGCTGTGTGGGGCACATCAGGGACATGAGTGAGTAGGGAGTATTAGTGGGATGATACACCAATGCATCATCTGTTAAACCCCCCAGCATGAGCATCCTGCTGATCGATGATCGGAAAAAGATCGGAAACATGACCAGCAAATCCTGGCTTCTCTAAGGGATGTAACTCTTCAATAAATTAAAATCACAACACTATGACCACCTGAATCATTTGAAGAAAGATCACTACTACACCACCAGTGGCATCTTCGTATCAAGTCGTCTTCCCTTTGTGAAAACACACACACAAACTATATTATAATACCTCATTGTCAGAATCATGAAATCTGATTGGTCAATGTGATCTTCATAACATACTATGTATCCCAGCTTGGAGGGAAATAAAATTTTCAATGGGGGAATAAATCTCTTATACCCCGCCACGAGCAAGTCAGGCTGTGTGTGGATTTCTGGGAGGCAGAATAAATCCCTTATGCCCCGCTCAATAGAACAGCCATTTTCTAACAATTTTGAATCTTTTTTAATTCTTTTACAATGTCATATTAAAACATACATTTATATTGCCTAGGAGCTGCACCACTTCTTTAGATTGTTTTATGTTATAACAGGACATACAGAGGATTTTTACCATGCCTACATTACAATCTCAATCACAGAGTGTTGTGGGGGCAGCCCCAAGTCTCATAGTCATAGCCATCTTAACACCATGCAATGGGCGATCTTTTTGTTCCAAAGGGCAATAACTCTCCTTTTGAAATGATATAAGCGACGGTCCAAACTGTCGCTTCCGGTCTGGTCCCCGGATCTATGCGCGCTGCGCCAACTTCTGACATGTAGAGACGCAGCCAAAGAGTTATCCTGTTGCACCTTCGTTCAAAAACGGTCGTTTACAACTGAATATTTTTAACTAGCACATATTTTGTAGTGATTATTAGTTTATATTATCAACATTTGTTGAGTCTTCAACTACAAGACGAATTGTCACTATGGAAGATAGCGGGAAAAACGTCATGAAAAACGGTATATTGCCACGGTATTTTCTACGTCAGAAAACAGCCAGGCATTCTGTCAGTCTGGGCTAACATATTGCATCGATGAAATGATGCAAACTCATTTTATTTATCAGCATTTGTGTTATTTCCCACAACAATTCAAGCATTCAAATCTCAACAAATACTACCATGGACTTCAATTTAATAAAATCAGTGATATACCTACATTTGCAGCACACAGACATCTTTGACAGGCCTTTACCAATGATCTATATAGTAAGTTTACATCCGTGCCTTTACAAATATTTTAAGAAGAAATAATGTTCGAAATAATAAAACAACTGATTTTAAATGTTACTTTTTATATCAAAAATAAAAGTTGCATCTGAATATTTAAATTTATATTATTTTTTAGAAATAGGCCAAAAGAAAATCTACCATGCATCTATTAAGCACTCAGTTACTCAGTTGCAATATACATACTAGTCATCATACTTTGCAAAAAGAGATTTACCCATATTATTCTTCCCCTTATAACATGTGTCCCACCATTAAGTGCTCTGAGTCATCACAGGTGTTAATTCATCGATCCATCAGTTCAGAAACAGATGACTGCTGAAAAGTCATGCATGTGTAATCAAAGACTAGTACACATGCACAAGTATGCCGAGATATTAAATAAAATAATAAGAGTCATTGTGCAATGCAGATATATCTGTTGGTGTGAATAGAAAGAAAATAACATTGATAATTTGTTTATGTTGGAATTTGAAACATCAGTTTAGAACAAGGAAACATGAGAAGCAAGGCCTAATGAAGTTAAGAATCAGCTTTATCTGTGTTACAATCATATGATTATTGTCAATGCAAACTGGATGTAGACACTGCAGTGTTAATACAATCAAAATTATATGAGTTTAATAATATCATACAATAAACTAACATACGTTGGGAGTATTGGCGAGCGCACTTTCTTGGATTTCAATTAGCACTGCGAGGAGGATCGCCCAACCCTTAAGGATCGTAAGGGGTGTTTGATCAGAAAGGGGTGTTTTTTCGGGAATGGGATCCAAGAGCTAAGGAAAGAGTTGGGGATAACCTACCCAAACCCTAACACAACTAACCCTAATGTTCGAAGAGGCACACAAGATTTATGAAACGATAGTCACAGCCTAAGCCAACATTAGCGATATAGGAAGCTCCAAACAACTGTCTAGTTGAGATCGAATATTCATAGTTGGGAGTATTTCTATTGAGGGTCACGTCTCTTCAATATGCCCTGAAACGATGCTGCCGCCACAACAGCATCGGCTGTCACAGGCTAGCCTCTCAACGTGACATCATACTATTTCTAACAACTCTGCTTCCAATATATGAGTTTCGTCCTTTTGTTATAAAATAAGTACAGGTCTTGCATTTCTTATCGATCGCTGAGTGTGTAAGTTTATGAGTCACTGGAGGTGCTGGTGACTTCATCGGACCTGCCTAGCAGACGTCACATTACGTTTTCACAGAATACACCGTGACAAAGACAAACATGCACAGAAATTCACGTGCATAATGTTACTGATACAGATACTGTAACTTGCATGGAGCGTAACTGCAAATACATTTCCATAACAGTACAAATCGGCGAAATAATTTACCAGAATAAGTGATTTCTTCGCTTCCCGGAAATAACAATGGAATCCCCGGGTTGTACAAAAAGAACGGCCACACCTTTTCAATGAAACGAAAGTGGAATTGTTATATTGAATACATGACGGAAGGAAAAGGTTTGAGTTGTGTTTCGAATAAGAATGATTTTTGTCGCTTAGAAGCAAAACACAAAATGAAGGTCAAGTCTATTGTACAGACCATCCGTGTGACACAGTTTGACGTCTGTTAAGGATGTATCGTAATTTATTTTTATATATATAAAAAGAAAATCAATATAAAAAGAATTCCCCAAACCTAAATGATCATAATAGAAGACGATTGCCGAAGACCAATTATCGTCAAACCCCGTTATAGCGCGCGTGACCGCCACTCGTAAATGCATGTTCTCCTTTTCATGAGAAGAGGCATATTTTATCCCAAAATGATGAGCAAGATTGACTCTTATAGGGAAATATTAAAACAACACCATATGAGGCCCTTGCTCAAATATAACTTTAGAAATGACACACTGGAATGTCACGTTGAACATGTGAATATGTATTTATTTATACCCCATAGGATTTATTCCGCCCCTGAACCAAGTACGAAGCCGAAGGAGCAAACTTGTGTAGTGTGAGTGAGTGATTGTGATTTTACGCCGCTTTTAGCAATAATACAACAATATCCCGGTGGGGGCACCAGAAATGGGCTTCACACATTGTACCCATGTCGGGCATCGAACCCAGTCTTCGGCGTGGCAAGCGAATGCTTAAACCACTGGGCTACCCCACCGCCCTCGTTTGTTGTGTAAATTCCGGGCAAAGGCCAGTCTGCGTGTTGTTGCGTTTATAGGCGAATAAAATTGCACAAATTGAAAACTCTAAACATTGGTTCTTAAAAAATATATATATTACAACATAGTTGTATCGCTGGGAACTAAATAAAGCTATTTAATGAATCGTCAAATTGTTGTCGCAATGCTGCCAAACTGACTAAATGTGTGTTTCTATTTTCTTATCAAAACCTGCAGACACTAGGCATACACACTTGTATTCCCATCAGTTATTTCATCTCGGTTGCTACATGTATGAGGTTCCAATAAAAACTTCCTGTCTTCAGCAACATATACACTCAAAGCATTCCCGACATGAAAAATACTTATTTATTTATTTTCATCTCCGATATACGTGTTGATTATAATGGAACTTTTATCATAAAAAGAAAATCCCATTGGGAACTTTCACACAAAAGGTATTAGTTCCTTTTGCAATTATGTCCTATCTTCTTTAAAATATCTACAAAATATACCGGGGGTAACGAAAAAATGCGATATGACTGGTTGCTAACATTTTTATGAATAAACACGTTTGGTTGGTAAATTGTGTTGCATTTGTTAGACTATTTCAATCAAAACATTTTGGTTCGTTTAAAAAGGAATTTATATTCTCTAATGGAATTACGATACGTTCCGTTATGTGATTACGTTTCCAACCTTAGTGCGGGCATACAGGGTTGTGGGCAGATTCGGAAGACACCATTAATCTCTGGTTTGTCTCTCCATGTCACGGTTGTTGTAGGTGATCATCAGGCCAAATGGGGTTGAACGTGACGTTCAAATCGGAGTCACTCATGATATCTCAGACACAGTATATACTGACTCCGAGCCGACAAGTCCTTCTTTTACCCCCTTAATTCCGAGCGTCAGGCAGGATAACAACAAGTACCATCTTATGGACGTACTGTTCGAACGTTGATTGCTTTTCTCATCAGAACAGGGGGCGGTCGGGTAGCCTAGTGGTTAAAGCGTTCGCTCGTCACGCCGAAAACCCGGGTTCGATTCCCGGCATGGGTACAATGTGTGAAGCCCATTTCTGGTGTCCCCCGCCGTGATATTGCTGGAATATTGCTAAAAGCGGCGTAAAACCATACTCACTCACTCACTCATCAGAACAGAAATATCAGATAACTCTTTCATACATGCCATTAAGTATTTTCAACCAATCTAACACTCACCCTCTTCTGCATTCAATGGACTTACAGTGGTATTATTTTACTACAATATTAAATTTGATACAATGCTCGAAATTGAGTGTGAAAATCAAGGGCTCCTCAGAGCCTCTATGTGAAATCCCTAGATTCAAAGCGAGGTCAAATGGGGTTTGACGTCGCGTTCAAGATTATTGGACTTATGTGCATGCATATGTGCGTGCATACGTGCGCGTGTGCGATTGATTGTACTAGTCCGGACTGATACTGTCTTATCAGTGCTAGCCCACTGGGATACCATGACACCATCGATACCCCTCTCAGACACTATACTGACTCCGAGCCTATACTGTATATCGGATCTACATGCGAAGTCTTCGAGTTTTGAGAGCTTTTCAAAGAGCTATGATGTATGTGTCAAACTCAGTTAATATTTGGTCAACTGGGAGTTTCCATCTCGCCTGGAAACGTGGAATGTGACAGTCTGAGATGTGACTTCTTAGACGTCACTTGGTGTCTCTGGAAACGTGACAATGTTCGAAATTTATGTAAATTGAACTGAAATTTAAACACTTTGCGGTGACCAAAATGCTTGAAGTAAATAACACTTACAGTGGTTACATTGAAATTATCTTTCAATCTTTTCTTCTTTATTCAAATTATTGAGGTGTCTGAGGTGTTTTTTGAGTAAAAAAATAAGAAAAAATCCAGAATAATTTTGCAAGTCTAGATTGAAATTAAACATTGTTCTGGGCTCCAATTTTATTTTATTTTATATTTTGTAGATATATATTTTGAGATAAGATAAATTTATTTTGGGGACTAAATGTCAGTCTAGCCAAGTGACCATATAGTACATAATGCACATTCTGGTGAGCGGTAGAATTTCGTCATGAAATAAGATGTCTACTGTATATCATAAACACAGGTGAAAGAGTAAAATCAGTCCGTAGCTGGGTGTCTGTGGAATCATGTCAATTTCGAAGTGACAAATGTGACATAATGTTATAAATGACGCCATGTGAATAACGTCACAACCTATTTTGTCGTAAAGTTATTTCATAGTTATTACCCATATATAATCCATATAGGTAATAATGCCCATTCCCCTTTCCCAGAGTGGGACACATAGATAAAGTCACGGCAATTCAGGCGCAAACCACACATCGTCAATGACACCCAAGACCAGTTTTATCTTGACGTCCGGTTTAAAACTCCGCACATCAATAAAGCTTTATGTAGCACACGCTGGGTTGGAGCGCGTGTTAGATTGACAGTGGCGGTGCAAGCAAATCTCCGCGACTTGTTCCACATCCTCATCAGCTTGTCCCGGAATATCAGGAAGATTTGTATGTCAAGATGGCAGAAGGCGGGAGCAAGGAACTGCCCCACGAGGAATCTTGCTGGGATCAGAGTTACAGGACGAAATTAAAGTCCATGATGACGAAGAAATCGAAGGAGACAGACGAGGGGTGTCGTGTTTGGACTGGGTGTAAGGACAAGACCGGTTATGGCCGAATGTGGGTGAACTGGCGTGGTCGCAAGGAAATGAGGGCACACAGAATAGCATACATGTTGCACCACAGCCTAACCCCTGACACTATTGCCCAGAGAGACGAGAAGGATAACCAGCTGGTGTGTTCACATATCTGCTTTGTCAAGGCGTGTGTGAGGCATGTGGTGCTAGAGACTAATGGCGCCAGCATGGAACGACTTCACTGCAAGAACCAGGGAGTTTGCACGCAAGGCCACGAACCCCATTGTCTTTTTTTGAAAGCAAAGGAACCATATGTAGAGCAACAGGTCATCTTGAATTCTGAAGATGAGTTCGAGGAAACAGCAGAAACAGTTCATTTTGTTCCTGGTTTTACCAACAAAAAAAGAAAACTACTCACTGAACATGCTGAATGAACTGAAGAACAACTAGTTGGTCCCCTAATAATTACTCCTTTCAGAGAAATAATCATATGTCTTGAAGGACTGACCACGTGTGTCTTGAAGGACTGACCACGTGTGTCTTGAAGGACTGACCACGTATGTCTTGAAGCACTGACCACGTATGTCTGAAAGGACTGACCAAGTATGTCTTGAAGGACTGACCACTTGTCTTAAAGGACTAACCATGTATGTCTTGAAGGACTGGCCACGTATGTCTTGAAGGACTGACCATGTATATGTCTTGAATTGTGTTGTAAGGTCTGACCACGTATGACTTACATATGTCTTGAAGGACTGATCACGTATGTCTTGAAGGACTGGCCACATATGTCTTGAAGGACTGACCATGTATGTCTTGAAGGACTGACCATGTATGTCTTGAAGGACTGACCACGTATGTCTTGAAGGACTGACCATGTATGTCTTCCAGGACTGACCACGTATGTCTTCCAGGACTGACCACGTATGTCTTGAAGGACTGACCATGTATGTCTTCCAGGACTGACCATGTATGTCTTCCAGGACTGACCACGTATGTCTTCCAGGACTGACCATGTATGTCTTGAAGGACTGACCACGTATGTCTTGAAGGACTGACCATGTATGTCTTCCAGGACTGACCACGTATGTCTTGAAGGACTGACCACGTATGTCTTCCAGGACTGACCACGTATGTCTTCCAGGACTGACCACGTATGTCTTCCAGGACTGACCACGTATGTCTTCCAGGACTGACCACGTATGTCTTCCAGGACTGACCACGTATGTCTTCCAGGACTGACCACGTATATGTCTTGAAGGAAGGACTGACCACGTATGTCTTGAAGGACTGACCACGTATGTCTTGAAGGACTGACCACGTATGTCTTCCAGGACTGACCACGTATGTCTTGAAGGACTGACCACGTATGTCTTCCAGGACTGACCACGTATGTCTTCCAGGACTGACCACGTATATGTCTTGAAGGAAGGACTGACCACGTATGTCTTCCAGGACTGACCACGTATGTCTTGAAGGACTGACCATGTATGTCTTGAAGGGCTGACCACGTATATGTCTTGAAATGTGTTGTCAGGTCTGACCACGTATGACTTACATATGACTTGAAGCACTGACCTTATGTCTGGCTGGACATCTTTGATGGTAACAAGGACGAGAAGTTTCAGCTTCGCTGGTCTGAT